ACGTACATATTCATGCCCCGTATCGTATTGCCCTGTACAGAAAATAAGTATTTTTTCACCCCTTCATTTAAAAAAAAAACAACAACAATCGAATTCAATGTGTAACACAAATGACTGTTACATGCACATGAACACCTGAGCCACACCAATCAATACTGACGGTTTTTGTTTAAATAGGACACGTTTACTTGGATTTTATTGAAAATTGTTGTGGGAAAATTCACCGTTTTATGGGCATTTTACATTCATCTCGAAAAGCACTTGCCCGTTATGTTTGTGGCCCCGTATACCCTCAACTCATCACACTACAGCCAGCAAGTATACAACAAAATATATACAATTTTTCGGCAGATTGCACATCTGTAGCTGGGCTTAGGTGTGGTTTTACATTGTGTGTTTGTGTCATTTCAGTCTGCCTGTTGTTATTCTTATGAATGGCCCCGAAAAACATCAAATTCCCATGAATATTTAGTTAGTGCGAAAAATCTTTCGAGTTATATTGCAATTTTCATGCAAAACACTCTTAAACACACACACAAACCGAATGAGCTTGAGATGGGGTATGGTGCAGTGCGGTGTATGAATGAATGAGAGAGTGCATGCAAATAATATGTACCATGGTAAAAACGACCGCCTTTATCTCAATATTGGAATTTGTGTATTTTCGCAAATTTTCACATAAACTCATGACCACAACAGCTGTATTCCGTTTCAAAGTGGTCGTTTGTGTCCGGTTCCGGCAGTTACCTACCTGGTCGAAAAAAACACATACCAAGAAGGAAACAAATCAAATGAGACCATTTCTCACAATCAATAGCGAAAATGTTGGAATGGAAAAAGACAGAAACTGGCAAAATTATGATTGTTCATTATTAGCAAACCGTAAGTGCTACATCGTTACTGCTTTGTGGGTGGCTCAAAGCTGTCTGTATATTTTCTGCGAAAATGGAATAATATGCTCATTAAAGAGGAAGTCGAAGTCACAGTGCCCATATGCTTTTTTGCAAGACACAAAGCACGAAGATATTTCATTTCGGCATGTGTTCCGTAATTTACCGATGTCGTTTGCCAGCTTTATAAATTGCTGGTTGTATTTCAAAGGACAAATAAATTGTCCGCGCACAAATTTCAGTTACATTCTTTACTCTTTGACTCTCCTCTCGACCGCATGCATATTAAGTCGTTTCACACAAAATTCGAAGGCAAATTCAAATGCAAATGCAATTGCCCAGTACATATTATGTATAGGATGGCATTTATGTTCTATTTAATGTCACACGACTTTGTTTAATCAGTTGAGTTCATATATGGTTAAATAACCAAGCGGGGGGTTCGTTTCTCTCTCTCTCTCTCTCTCTCTCTCTACAATGTGCTCGAATTAAGCATCTACTCGTGCAACTGCAATCGTTAACGGATTTTGTATCCCTCTTATGTATATGTTTGGTACACATACACATATTTATGGATGGCAAAATTGTAGCAAAATCCGATGTACCAACAAGAGGACAAACTGGAATTACCAAGAAGAGAATTGTTTATGCATATTGCATTGTTATGGTGCTGTTGAGTGATACATCCTGATTGAGTATGAATGAAATGAGCGCAATTTTTGCTTACTAAGAGAGAGAAAGAGATGTCGAGAATGTGTTAACTGATATGAAATTTCTTTTGTACAGCGATATGAGATAAAAAAAAGCACTCAACACAACCGATTGACAATGCTAAATGTGATGCAATGATAAAATACATAACTGAGAATGTTCAAACAGAAAAAAGCATCATTTGGCTTAAATATGTAATCAGTTAAGCCATCCGTAAAGAATGTATTCGAATTTTTCATATTTGCTACTTGCAATAATGAAACAAAAAAAAAAATTATGAAGAATTAGGTCGAGTAAAGCCGAGACAGAAATTCATCCACATATAGTATCCACTTTGTTTATGTCTTGTTGAATCAAACTTTGGTCGCATTTATTTGAGGCGTACAAATAGTGCACTTATTTGTTTGTTTGTTTTTATTGGATGGGATATTATTGCTTGCCGTGACATCGTATCTATATTGTTTTTGCCTTCAATTCCCGGGAATTTATGCCATTTTTATGAAAATTTCCTTCCATTCGTCTCTTCTGTTTCGGACCGGATTATGCCAAATATGTGCCAAGCCTCTTTAAATATGTATATTATTTTATGTTTCATGATATCGAAATATTTGTGTAAGTGTATATATCACATCTTTTTATGCATATATATTATTACCATTTCTATTTAGATACAAATCTGGCACATCACATTCCCAAAAAACTTTACTAGCGCGCATTCATTTCCTCATTCACTTTCGCCGTCGGTCTATCTCTCTCTCTCAATACTCTCTGCGCCGAACCTACATCGTATAGACAAATTGCTTGTGTTTGATCCCGCTCTTGCTCGTTCATTTGGCCGTCTCTGTCTCGTTTTGTTCGGTGGAAATTTGACTATGAAATGTGTGGTTCATTTTTATGATATGTTACATTTATTTGGCAAAGCTAAGCATATTTTCACTTTGTTCCACACCCTCTCGCATGATTTTTCCACATCGACTCTACTTTGGGCACAGTGTTTTCTTTGGTGCCGCTTTTTTTTCTCACATTCAGATTCTTCAATTTTTCTTCGGTTTTTTTTTTCTTCTCTCAGTCCATTGTGTTCGCCACTTCCTCTTCATTTTTTTTTTATTTTTGTTCTTCTACTGCTGCTACTGTGTGACAATTTGTTGTCTTTGTCGACGTCTTCAACACTTCATTTTACCGCATTGGATTTTTCCACAAATGAGTATGTCGACTCTCTTAAGGCAAATCTAACAGCAATAATACTAAGCGAACTCAACCCAGAAAACACGAAAAAGAAAAACGAATAAAAATAAATAAGAAAAATATGGGGAGCAAACGATGCGAAAACCAATGTGAAAATTATTCTGAGCTTGCTGGTAGTGCAGACCATATAAAAATCGTACAACTAATACGCTATAGCATTTGTCGCTTAAATTTGTAGTCGTTTTTCATTCGCCACTTTTGATTGCATCGACTTGCTTTCGTCGCTTTTGTTCTCATAATTCGGTTTGTGATTGGGATATATTTTTATTTTCGATTTCACCACACCGAATCCAAATGGCGTGAAAAAAAAGTTTTTTTTTTTAAATTACATTTGAGAATTGCAAATTCTTCGCTTTTTTATCGTCATGGTCTTTTTCGATCATTTAACAACAAATGAGTTTGAAACGAATGACTCAATGGATTTGCACATTGATTTCCGTTGATTTTCAATGGAAAATTGTCACATTAAAAGTCGAATTGAATTAATTAATATATGGGCATAAAAGCAGCGAGGTTGAAAACGTTATTTTGCAATTTACCATTTCGAAAATTCGAAAAAAGAATGGAAGTGGCGAAGTTTGCGACGGCATCTTCTCATGACTTGACACTTTTATACATTTTGGCGAATTTCGGTTTTTCACATAGAAGTTGGGTGCCGAAAATCTCATTTGCTCTTTCCGAGCGAAACTTTTCCAAGCGATGTACTTGGAAAGTATCCGCTGTAATTGGCGCATTAAATTTTAAATGCAGTTTGGAGAACTTCCGTACAACATACGAAACCACTAAAAATGAGGAAATCTACAAAGAAAATAATATGAATATTGCATAAATTGTGACTCAACGCCTGTGTGAAAGTTAAAAAAACCGTTTGTGAAACATTGCTCGTCGGCCCGGTTATGTTTACAACGCAAAATTACAAGTTGTTAAATTGAAAACATGAGCATATTCTTCAATCCCAGTCGCTCTCGACCCAAATCATACACCTTTCGCAATGAATTATATTTTTGTTTTGACAAATTGTCGCCTTGCATGACGCTGAATAACTATTTGAAATTGCTCGAGATGGATAAAGTGTTGTTTTTTATTTTCTGTTCCTCAAGCTTGTGCTTATATCCCGAGTGTGTTTTGACACAAGCTCCACTTTGTTTTCAAAGCTATTTATTTTGAAAAGAGCACAACAAAAAGAAAAAAAAAACACAACAAACACCCATGAACACAATGCTCGAGTAGCTTTTAGTAAAATACGAGCTGACTTTTTCAACCGAAATGACATCTGAAATGAAATTATATCTGTGAATAGAACATTGCAGGCAAGTGAAATATGTGGTCTTTCACAAAATCCACATAAGTGGTTTAGGCTGCATAATTCCATCTTAAATAATTTTTCATCGTAATTTGATAGCAAAATAGAAATATTTAATGCATGAACCCGAGTGCTTTTCATTGGATACAGTGCTTTTTAACTTTTTAATATTGCGTTCATTAAGCGAATAGCATCTTCCGCAGTCCTTGAAACATAAGAACTCATTTAAATACTACCACTCACACACAGCAGAACGAAACAAAGAGATCAAGAGTCAGAAACGAAATTATAAACGTTTTACTCTTGTCATGAACAGATTATGAAATATCACAGATTTAAATTGTGTAAAACTACAAATAGGATTACGCTTAAAAATATGGACATCATTACTTTTAAAAGTGAGGAAAAAAAAATATTGCACGAAATTTCATTTGAATGGCTTACTTTGTGTGTCAGTGCAGAAAGTACCGACAAAGACCTAAAACAATGAAAACAGCAGCTGCAGCAGCAGCAGCAGCAACAGCAACAACAATTTCACAACAGAAAGTTTCGGACCGAATAATTTGGAAAAGAACTTTCATTTGCATATGCGATTAACAACGAAACGGGGTCACTTTCGAGCATAAGAGAAAACAACAAATATTTTCGGTTTGCATTTAACGAAAAAGAATTGGAGTGAAAGAAAATAGTTTACAGCGGCTTTGATGAACTCGCACCCACTCAAAAGAAAAGTCAAAAGTTTGTGCTATTTTGTCGTCGCCGTTAAAAGCAAACCATAATCGATTTGTTGCACTTTGGATTTCTTAATAAAAGTTTGTTTTGAAAAAAAAAAAAAAAAAAAAAAAAAACAGAGAAAAGAAAAACATTTATTAAGTACACAACCAATGCATGGCACGTCATACAATTTATTTAGTATTGAAACTGAATTTAATCGATTTGTTATACACTTGATAATATTGATCAATTAGATTGCGTGATTCAATCGAACAAAGTGAAATATTTGCCGAAAAACTTATGCAAAAAGTCGTGTTACATTTAGTATGCATCGGAAAGTGGCACGTTGATTGAAAGATTGACGCCAATAGTTGGAATTTGAAAAAAAAAAATCGGGAGAATAAGAAAGAAAAAACTTTGTAGAACTAACGAAAATCGAAATCTTATAAACTCAACGAACACAAGAAAATAATCTTACGATGGCCTTCGCAGCAGCGCGTATGATATTAAAAGATAAACGACGAAAGTCAAAAGAGGATTTTGTGCCACCACCACCGAGGACTCGCAGCAAGGTATATTGATGTGAAAAAGTGACAAAGAAAAAAAAACACAGCACATATTCCAAACATATAAATAACTTTATTTTCAAATACACACACCGGGGACAACTTCGACGAAGAAATTCGCTTAGCGAATGTGTTTTCGTATCTTTCAAATAAGAAAATAAATAAATCCAAGACAATTCGAATTGAATCAAAGATAATAATCTTTTACAATACTGTTAGCATTAGTTTAGAGCTTTCTTCAATACTAAACTTTTCTTTTCGATCTAGATTTTTGTGTTTGCTTTGATTTTCTTCTCTATTTTTTCAGTTCTTTTCTATAAATCTATCTCTTCCTTAATGTCTATCTTTCTCTGTCATCTCTATCGTATTTTTCAGGCACGAAGTGTAAGCACTAGTAGTTTCAGGAGTGAAATTCAGGTATCTGTTTCTAGCAGTACTTCCCCATCCGAATAGTCACACACAAATCACAATACAAATTTTAACTTGTTTTCCGTTTTGCTCAACCAAACAAAAAAAAAAAATAATTTATATAATCGCATCAAGCTCCACATATCGATAGATAGAAGCTTCATTCAATTAGATTAGATGCTTTACCTAGAGATACATCTTGACCTTGGTAGACAGCGTTTCACAAGAAGCCAAACAAAATTACTTCATCAACATATATGTTCAGTCATTTAAGAATGAGACAAAAATATGATCCCATTATCGTTCCCCTTTTGCATTTCTTCCTTATTATGAATCAATTTTCGGTTAATTTATTTGCTGAATAATGAATATAAAAATTGAATTTGGTTGAGAATTGGTCATCATATAGCATGCAATATTTATGGGCTTATTCATTGAATTTATGGATGAATTTATTCATTTATGATCGATACGACTCAAGGGAGGAAGAAACATACATAATTGACTATCACCTAAATTAAGGACACAACTACTGTGTTGTATCAATAAAATCGAAACCACAAAAAACGAGAAATAATGACAATGTGATTATGAACAGATATATCTATGGCATGATTGTTAAGTGCGATGTACAATGGTTTGTTTGGTGAATTCATTTAATCAACTTAACAAATTTCGGTGGTTTTGGAGAAAAAAAGAGAACTCGCGTGGGTGCTCGGTCATTGAATTTCAGTGATGAACATTTTCTCTTCCCCCTTCTCCCACTTTTTCTGGTCGAAAAGTGATAGGCGATTAGTCAAGAACACATTCAACAAAAGTGATAAAAAAATCGACCATATTTGTTAAATGCCTACGTTATTGCTGGCTATATCAGAGTGGATATGGAAATAATCATAAAATGAATGACCATTTTTTTGCCCCAAAAAATAGATGGTTTGTTCATTGGTAATGATGTAATTTGAAGCGCAAAACCATTGACTGCCGTATGGAGATTATTTCGTAATTGTATTGTAAACGATAATGTGTGCTTCAATGCACAAAATCTGATGATATTTTCGATGGGCAAAAACGTATTTCTCGCCGAATTTTGGCCATTTACCCAAACAGGTGATTGTGAGATAGACATTGCCATTGATATGAACGGGTTTTTTTTCCAATTCCCAAAAATGAGGAAATTGTAATTATTCGTGTAATGTAATAACACACAACGTGCATTGATTTGTAAACGACGTTTTAGTTTAATGCGATAGCAAGTGTTCCATGACGTCGATTAACTTCTGCAACATATTCCAACGCTGAATTGGTGAACCACACGTGAGTGTGTGAACAGGCCGAAAAATAGCAAATAGGAAACACCAACATCAGCAACAACAACGATGCCAGTAAATGTAAAACTAAATAAAAGCCGCACACATGCCGTTGATGTTCGTTAAACCTTTTGGTGCATTCGGCTGTGGCAAAAATAGATTATGGCTTTTGAGCATTCGGTTGACTTTTTGGAACTATGTGCTATTGTTGAGCCAAAGTTGAATCTTCATGGAAACCATTCGGTTTATCTGTCCATTCTCAAACCCCCCGCCCCCTGTCTACCTCTCTTGCTCTCAGTTTGCGTATGTGCACTCCTTAATTACAAATATTTTTGCTATTTTATGCTTTTTTTATTTATGTATTTCTTCTTTGGACGAATGACAATGCTGCCCATCCAACAATGTTAAATGGAAAAAGTTCGTAGCTCCAGAAACTTTAACCATTATTGTGCGCCACTCATTCGCCACCAGCTAATGGTCGAAATTGAAACTTTTTTTTCGCGGCAACCGTGATACATACTATGTACGCGCAACGTTCATTTCTCGCACATATATACCAACTTTTCATATACCCAAAAATTCCGATTAGACTTCCGTTTAGTTTAAATTTTCAGGGCATGAAATGATAAACACCGCAATTGGTTTGACATCATTTTTTAGTCCTTGCTAAATCCATGGTGCAATTCTATTTCAACCAAAATCAAATAAATATGCATTTTTGTTTTGTTTATTTTAGGCTCGCAATAAGCCAGCCGACGGAAGTAGTCACATCAAGCAACAGCATGGACAACATCCGCAACGTGAACGAACACCGAGCGGTCAACGTTCCGTTGGACATGGACATGGTCACCATAAAGGTTCAGCAACAACGCCAACATCGAATAAACCACCATTCACATCGAAAAGTTCATCACAATCGTTGAATGGCAAACTATCGACAAATCCGTCGGTTAGGCCAGTAACAACGACAACAGCACCAACACGACCCGGGCAAAAGCAAAAGAAGAAGAAGCAAATCTACGATGTCAATGTGACAATCGACTTGGTAAGTGTGCACGAATGTTCCGTAAAAAAAAAACCAAAAAAAACTTTTATTTTTCTGACAACCGTAACGAAATAGAGAAGAGTGAAAACAACATAGAAATACAAAACAAATTGGCCCGAATTTTATCTGTCGCTTTTGTTTTAAAAAAGGGAAAATCATTCGACGGACTTCCTATTAAATGTTCGTGAATCACATTCAACAGAACAAAAGAATTAAGAGCCAAGCGAAAGTAACACACAAACAAAAAAAAACTATATGGATTCGAACACGTTCGTATTATTGTGACGTGGTTCGATTTTGAATTGAAAATTTGGTGATAGCTTTGGCACGAGTGAGAGAATGGGAGAGAGAAAAAAAATTCATCGAAGTTCACATTTCCAATATTTGCCATGATTTGGCTGACTGCGACGCCAAATATTACAAAGCTGCATTCATATTTCAATACTTTTACAAATATTCGATGAGAGAGAGAGAGAGAGAGAGAGAAATGGCTCACACTCGTGCTCGTGTATCTCTCATATGTTTGTGTTTTGAGTTGTTGAGTTGTATGACGACATGTAAACAAGCCAGCGTAAACATATTTGAATTATCAAAATAGCGAATAGTTAAGCTAACAAGAGCACGAGCATCGTCGTATCAAATGCTCTAAAAATAAATCCCATTCGTTGAATCATCATCGACACATCGTTCGCGCATTCAAATATTTGTTTGAAACGAGCGCGAAAAAAAGGAACGAAAATGAGAAAGAATCATCAAATATATTTTTTTATTCGGAGAAAAGTGTGCGTAATAAACGAAGCCATTTGCCTGTTTTCTCTTGGTGCTCGGGTGGATTGAAATTAATTTTGCAGTGCTATAAAATGCATTTTAATATCATTCATCTATTGTAGTGTGGATAGGGAAATATATCGAATTGCATTTCATTTGTATTGTATTTGGTGTTTTGTTTGCGAAAATTGAGTAAATATAAAATTGGTGCATTTATTGCTTGTTTGTGCTTGATTGAATGCAATAAAACGTAACGGTGGCGTTATATCCATAGAACAATAGAGTAGTCACACTCAATTTACTTTTGCTGGAATTTCGATGTGCATTTCGTTTCGGGGCATGTGCCATGACAAACAAATGAGAGAATAGCTAAAGGCAATATAATCGAGATGGCATCCGATGACGTTGTTGTTGTTAACGAAGAGATTTACAGTAAAGAATATCGTCGATTGCGAACGCTAACCAGTCAAACGGATGTTGTTGAAGTATCTGTAAGTTTTCGGTGATTTCGTTAAAAATTAAACATGAACATGAACTTGAAATAATTTACGATGTAAACGACTGAGAAATGAGCATTTCAGCAATGTTAATCGTTTCGTGTAACATTAAATTGACAACATTCAAACGTTGATATAATCTGTATTCTGTTGTTCTTGTATTTTCCAAACAGACCGAATATGGCCTAACCGAGGAACAAGTTGCAGGTATGCTTAAAATGTTTATGCTTTGCATGTAATCACGTTATTTGCATTGAAATTGTTTGCAATTGAAATATGCGCGACTCATTTTTGGTGAACACACATTTTCTGAACAGAATTCAAGGAGGCATTTATGTTGTTTGATAAGGACGAGGACGGCACAATCACCATGGCTGAATTGGGTGTAGTTATGCGCTCATTGGGACAACGACCGAGCGGTATGTGTTTTTTTAAACAGTGTCTTACACAAACCTTTTCATTTTGTTCGATATTTTAATTCTATTATTATTTCCCATCTCTTTCATTCGCTGTGATGCCATTGTCTTTGCTTTCAAATCGTCGTGGTGTTTCTGTCACTTTATTTAATAGAAAATGAACTCCGTAACATGGTGAATGAGGTTGACATTAATGGAAATGGAACAATTGAATTCAATGAGTTCTTGTTAATGATGTCGAAAAAGATGAAAGTAGCTGAAGGCGAAGATGAGCTAAAGGAAGCATTCAGGTAAGATAACAAAATGGTTAAGGTTACATTTTCTAAAGACATGTTCCGCCTTCAACACGATTTAAATTTTGTGCCATGTCATTTTCTATTTAAAACATTGGCAGAGTATTTGATAAGAACAATGATGGCCTCATTAGTTCGACTGAATTACGCCATGTAATGACGAATCTTGGCGAACGTTTGTCAGACGAAGAAGTTGACGATATGATCAAGGAAGCCGATTCAGATGGCGATGGCATGGTCAATTATGAAGGTAAGCCCATTTGAACCCTATTTTCACATCGATGTACACATTTACATTTGCGTTTAATCATTTCTTCCGAACAGAATTTGTTATGATTTTAACTGCCAAGAAATAGTTAAAGCTCGACAACAAAAAAAGCAATGGCTCATCCACAACCGTTCACAAAAATCATAAAAAAAACTAAATAAAAAAATACAGTATATATATTTTCGTCATTTCATAGAATGATAGATGCGGTAGAGATTTTGTCTTGATTTCAGTTTTTTTTTTCTATCTAATCCGCTTTAGCAGCAAAAGTACTCGGCGCAACTACACAAAATATATATATATATGAAAACAGTTGATTTCCTTCGGGAATTATTTCTATATAACATAAGTTTATTGATTTACCATTTCGATTTCAACATTTACGAAAGCGGAATAAAGTGGAGAACGAGCAGATTAGATACTAGAGAAAGCAAAATAAAAAATAAAAATAAAAAATAAATGGAAAATGTAAGAAAACAAATGCAGTAAATTGTTCACTTTGAACATTTAGAAAGAAGAGCTTATCGCTCTGCAGTTGAAAGAAGTAGTATATGCGAAAAATGTGGTTTTCACATCACTTTGAACCAGATAACATGCTATTTATAGACATATTTTGTTGCAGCAGTTAATATCTGTGTAATGTGTATCAGTGTTGAATGTATATGACAGCTAATGGAAAGACGATATGGTAAGAAAAATGCAAAATTCAAATCAATGAATTATGCTTCCATAAATAATCAAAATACTTATAACTTAATGTACGTACATTACAAAATAACTGACATCATGAATGAAAAATCATTCACCAACACACATTCACACAGACACCCACACACAATGACAGAGCCAACAGACAGCTATTGTATTGCCATAATGGCAATGCCATTTAATGGTATTTTAAGTATCTACTTTAAGGTCTAACTTAAATAATTGACCAAATGGAATCATAATTAGACTATTTGCGCACACTATTTGCATTTGTGAACAAAATAAAACTAATTGAATACTACTTTTACAACACCCACTTTTACATTCTTTCATTCATTCACTGACACTACGTCACAAAACCATTGAAAAACAACAAATACGCAAAGAATTGATTATATTTTTATTATCTAAATCAATAAACTTCCACAAAGGAATTAAATTGAATTTTAACTATGCTTCCACAGCTCATGTCAAAGCGACTGTGTAATGTATGCAACAGTAGTGCATACACAATAACAGCTAGGTAAACCACAAAAGCATCACCACATTTATTTATTTCCATTTGAACTACATTTTCTTATTAGGTTCCTTTTTTCATTGCAACTTATATTTACCAAGTCAATAGCTTACAAATGCTTGTCAATAAATAATGAATACAGAATACCCTCCAACATTTTAATTGTTGACATTAGTAGTCAATTGGCTACTTTTTTTCATATGCGTGTGTGAAAACTAGTTTTGCATTATCTCTCTCTCTCTTTCTCTCGCGCTGAGCTACATCAACCGTTACTAATATGTCAACGGACCTGCTTACCATGTATTTTGTTTAAATAAAAGATTTTGTCGCCATAGAGATTCGATCTCCAGTCAGCCTAGTAGGCATGCGTACAGAGCCATGACTCTACCAACATAGCTAAACTAGGCTAAGTAATATATAAGATTTCAAATGGAATATATACATTTTGAATATTGATCAAAATGTAAACAAGAGATCTTAAAACGCACTGAGTGAGTGAAAAAAAAATACTCCACCAATTTAAAAATGAAATGCAAATCTACACTCAAAATGAACTAGAAATAAAATCGCAAGGAATTGAATAATAGTCAGTCATCTATAAACCACTGGAGTAACTCGTTGTAATTTCACCTTAAATCATGAAGATAACTATTTTGATCGTTTTGTTTTTTGGAGTGATTGCATTTGGCAGTAAATTTTCCAAAGATAATGTAAACTTCTACATAATACAAAGCGAACATAGTACACATAAATTAAAATTAAAATTAAGCAAAATGCCAGAACTTCTATCTGAATTGGTAGCCATTCAATCAATTACTGGAAATGTTTAACTTTACTTTTGAAATGCAAAATAAAATGAATCGAATCGAAACCATGTAATCGCCTGTGCAGGTTTTGAGATTCGAAGTTTATCGGATGTTACAAAAATTCCGCCAGAATAATACCGTACTCTTTTATTTTTGCTATGTTCTTTTGCTTTCAATTCCTCCATACTTGCACACGGGTATCCAGCAATCCGTTCTTCCATATTGATAATGCGTAGATAGAAATTAACTGCTTTTAAATGTGAACATATCCAGTCTAGGCATGGGAACTGGCGCTTTTCACCATTTATGTAGAAATCAGAGTGTCCGATGAATTCGAACATACCTATGTGAAGTACAAAATTTGATTAATTTCTATTTTTGTCATTTGTTTTACGAGTAAAAGTGGGAATCGGATAAAATAAATAATGTCCGTTTATATATCCGCAAATGTTGTCGTCTCAAAACTTGCGGGCAAACGTGTAGTCAATATTTTTGGTCCAGATTTGTCCAATTCCCATCTTTACATACGAGAGAGTAAGAAAATAAAAGAAGATTTTACCGAAGCCACCCCCATTTGTATGGATGTTTTTGACCCATTCTGCATCCTTATTGCAGATTCTTTCACTACATGCCTTGTTATTGAAACACGGACCGGCTGGATCTAACGCTGTTATCCAAGGCAATTTTAATCCACTATCTTGCAAATATTTGCCTGTAAATCCGGCCACATGTGCACCAACGCTGTGACCTATTATTTTTTTTTTTTTTTTTCATTTTTAGTAGTCCATTTTCAATAGCTGATGCGATAAAACTGGCAATCGCGTCCCCGACTATTTTCGTATTTCCGTAATAGTAGTTATCAAAAGGCCAACCAATGCCGATTAGATTTACTCTTTGTGGTTTACTAAAATAGGCTAAAGATATTTTTTAGTTAGATTAATTTAAAACAATTTTGTGTTATAGGCTTTGGCCGAAACAGTCACCCAAACCAGTCAATAAGTTAACTCAAGTTAACTTACAATTGTTCCAAAATAACATGCTCTTACCACGTTTGAAGTCTTTTAAAAACCATGGTCCTGATACCCACCCATGGATAAAAACTATGCACTCAATTTCAACATTAAAATTTATTTCTTCAAGTTTCTGGGATTCATTGTATTTTAATTTATGTGTACTATGTTCGCTTTGTATTATGTAGAAGTTTACATTATTTTTGGAAAATTTACTGCCAAATGCAATCACTCAAAAAAAAACAAAAGGATCAAAATAGTTATCTTCATGATTTAAGGTGAAATTACAACGAGTTACTTCAGTGGTTTATAGATGACTGACTATTATTCAATTCCTTGCGATTTTATTTTTAGTTCATTTTGAGTGTTGCGTTGTGTAAACCGCTATGATTCAGCCGAATTCTACTGCGTATAAAAGAAATAGCGAGTACGTCACTGTGCGTTCTCGGTTCTCATACAATTCGTAGCCGCTGTCCACACACTTCGTTCGCATACGGCTCACCCATACATATAAACACATATTTTGAGAATAAATAATGAATTCATAAATTTCGCAAATACTGCTTTGAACTCCTCACCTCTTTTGTCTACAATCTGTAGTGGACAGATTTGCATTTCATTTTTAAATTGGTGGACTATTTTTTTTTACTCACTCAGTGCGTTTTACGATCTTTTGTTTACATTTTGAAAGCTTAGTAGTTTTTTTTTTTACTTTGAATGCATGAACATATGAAAATACATTGGCACACTCAAAACGAATCCAACAACAAAATACATGGTTCAAGCATGTTCGTTGCCATATGAATTTACATGCTCGAAACGAACATATGAAAATATGATAACAGAAACGCATATATAGAGCATTGGTTTTTGGCTATACTACTGACATTCTCCTTAATTTCATGTGTCCCTTTTTCGCGCCGCTTCAGTTCCGAAATCAATAAATCTCTAATGCATATTTCAGTTGAATAAAAACAGAGAAATAATTAGCAAATATTTAGTCCAAACTTGTAGAAAGCCAACAAATCAATATTGCACACTGAAATTCCGAGCACTGGTCACCAACATTCATATATATATATATATATATACATAGAGAACAAATATTTACAACACTAAATCCAATGAAATCGAATTTAAATTTTTCAGAGCGTTTTGCCCTGCTACCGATTATCTGTATCTTAGAACGACTAAAATAAAAATTGATATTTTTTTTAGATAGGCCATAATCAACGCGTATTACTTTCAAAGTGGCGACTTAGTTAATTCAAACACATACGAAATGCATTTATGGCTCCGACTAAATTATAAATTGATTGGAATTTGTGCGTGGTAGGATTTTTGAGTATATATCGACGGCGGCAACGACGACGATGTGGAAATGTGCAAAAATCAGTGTGTCCATAACATATAGAAATAGCATAGTATCGATATCTATACTATATCGGTGCACTATATATGGAAGATATTTCCGCAAGACACCGTAACTCACGATCGAAGTGAGTGCGGACGGCAAACATGTTGACAGTTCTTTCTACTGCCGCACGGCAACTTGTGATTTTTGCCGTCTGCACTCACTTCGATCGGGCGATACGGTGCCTTGCCACAATATCTTCCATATAGTGGACCGATATAGTGTAGATATCGACACTATTTAGTGCTACTTCTATGTATTATGGACACACTGGCAAAAATTGACGTTGTAATTTTACTAAAATTATTTTAGTGTCTCCTCATACTATAGTATTTAAATATACACAATATGAAACAATTGAAAAAAAAAACAATGAAACAACTATTTATTATTATAAAAATTATTGTGTAAACACATGATATTTACATCAAAATATATAAACTAAAATGAACATACAATATCTTAACCAAATCTAAATTTAACAAAACAAAATAATAAAAGACATATATATATCGATTGAATCGGCGAAAAAACAAAACTTTCTGGGGAATAAACAAAAACTCTAATTTAACTATTTTTTGTATTACGAACATATATTTTGCAAATGAAAAACCAATTTTATGTAACCCAGATTATCTATATTGATATATATATTCTATCTTAAAACACACACACACACACCACAAACTATATTTTAGAGAATCAACAGAACTAAATCTGAATCAAAACCTACTATTAACTATAAAAAGAACAGCAGAAATTTTTTTTTAATTAATAACATAAAAAATATATTCACTTAACACACTAATTGGAACTCAAGTCTTGAGTCAACCACAAATGAGATGAATTGAATGTGAAATTATAAATTATCTGTATATGTGTGCATTAAATAATTAAAAAAAAAAACACAAATAGAAGTGTGATCACAATAATGGCGCGGACTTTTTTTTGAAACAGATGCTTTTAAATGTGAAAAATGGCACAAACTCACTCATAGTCGAAATTGAGGCTGGAAAATCGTTCAATTGATGTAAACATTTGTGAAAGAAAGACGCATTCATGCATGTGGTAATAAAAAACGGAAACAATGTCTAAAAAAAGAGAGAAAAGATTTCATGGTTATTGCCAAGGTCGATTTTCCAGCCGCATTATCATATTTTTGGTGACTTAACATTTGACTCATCGTCAATTTTTGCAACATCAATCCAAATAAAAATTTAAAAAGTCTTTTTCCATTTAAAACATACCAAATACAAATATGTCCTATTCAGACCATAAAACACAATAAACATAAATGTTCAAGAACATCAACAGCAACAAATTTAACCATGAATGTAGTGTTATGAATGTACGTTCAAAGAAAAATATATTGAAATAAAAAAAACACTATAGAATAAGACACTACGTAAATTTGATGATGATAGAGAACACAAAAATGGATCGTTTCAATGGCAAATTATATTTATTAATATATTTTCAATAGTTCATTTTTTTTCATATACAAAACTAAATATCTTCATATTACAAATATAATATATGTATTAGAAACGAACGAAGAATAGATAAAGATATGTATACACATCAGAGAATAGCGTTCACAACAAAAAAAAGTAGTCATGTTAAATGAGACCGATTTTAGAAAGGCATTTTCTATCCGCAACGAACAACAAAAATATATTGAATTATCACTAGCATCTTCCATCGGTTAGTGTGTGTTAGTGATGATACGCGTGTGTGATCAAATGATATTTTGGTATTGTGTGTGCGAATGTGTTTGAATCGATGATTTGCCGGCCAAACACTGTTTTCATAGCCAATAAGTTGAAAATCTCGAGGACAATATATGACAACAACAAAAAAAAACATATGCGAAACATATATAAAATATCCGACGAATGACTTGTATTGTATTATTTAGAAATGAACTGAGAAAATTGACATTAAAAAAAATCATTTACAATAAATAAACCATTGATCCAACAAAAATTTAACATGTATTTTCAATCTAATTTTTTTCATCCCCGATTTGGCGCGACATTGAAAACTTTACTACTTTTTTCCAGCAAATAAAACTATATCATTTTTATAATGATTGACCCACATTTTGTCTAGTAATTAATCGCACAGGCTTATCAGAATGGAAAAAAGCACGAGGATTTTGATAGTGGAAAAAAAACAACACACGTGAAACAGAACATATCAGTTAGCGACGACTTGTAATTCATAACAATGTGCTTGTCTTCTTTTCTATTAATCTTAATCACAACGATCAGCACCTGTGAAATAACTAACAAAAAATTGAATTTCAAATGTTTTTTTTTTTTGGAATGAGAATTTGTGTTTTTCAATCGTTCTATCAATTTCAATTTCAAATGAACTTAAGTAAATATTCTACATTCAGACTTGATCATTAATTTGCGATTGTAAATAAATCGTTATTTTTTTGTTCCCTTATAATCTAAAATAATTCACAATTCCATTTTTCCTATAAATAATTCTGAGCTTAATATAGTGTATGAATGGCGCTTAAAGAGATTTAAATGAGGCCGTAACCTTTTGATTTATTACAATATGTGATTCCGTCGCCTATACACGACGCATACGCCATAAAGTGTGGGATTGTGTGTTGTTCCATGCTGCCTGTGAACAAGTGTGCATGCGGACCCATGGCAAAAATCGCCACATCGTCTCCCCCATGCGTCTCTTGGTCTCTTGGAACTGTTACGGGTGATAAGAAATCGTAATTGTTCATTTTGGCCGCTAACTTAGTTGGATCCTCGCGTTGCGAAGTATTTTTCGGCTCATAGGCAGGCCCATTGGCAAAGCTGAGCTTCATGTATGGCAAGAAGTCGGCATCTCCTTGTGAAGCAATGCCAAAAATATTACTTCCTCGATCCTTTGCAAAACAGAAATTCGAAAATTATTTATTTTATTGTGTAATTTTGGAGAAATTTATTATTATCGATAGAAAGAACAGAAAATACCGGATAGCCACCAAGTGTTAAAGTGTGTGAATGATCAGCAGTCACCACGAACAGCGTGTCATCGGTGCTAAGCATTTTGGTTGCCAATTTTATGGCTCTTGAGAATTCGGCCGTTTCTTCAAATGCTATATGTGCTGTATTATCATGCAATCCATGATCAATTCTACCGCCTTCAACAAATAAAAAGAAACCATTTGGATTTGTTTGTAAAATTTCGATGGCTTTCATAGTCATTTCCTTTAAAGTTGGAATCTGTTCGGAAATACCGTCGATCAAGTGGTTGTATTCACAATGACTCGGTGCAAATAAACCAAGCACACTTTCATTTGCAGACGGTTGAAGTGATAATAAACCGTGCTGTATAAATTTAAAAAACATGTACAATTAAACAATGAATAAAGATAAGCGAGAAGACTAAAATCTTACTTTATTCCACACGTATTTACGTTGTTCATTTTTGTGCTGATTATTCAGCCATTCGCTGATCAAATTTTTGCCATCCGTTCTACTGCCCGGATTACCTTCTTCATCTTTTTGTGATTTGTCGACAAAATTTCTACGTCCACCACCGAAAATCACTTTCAAATGCTTTCCAACTTCGCCTGCAACACATAATTACATTTTTAATTATCATTTGAATCGATGAATAAAAAACTAATTAATAAAAGCAAAGGCTCACCATGAACCAATTGCTCTGCGATATCATCAACTAATTGATCATTACAGTATGCATTTAATACTTCTGCATCATTCTCCCAATCGCGTTCAGCTGTGTGCGCGTAAACTCCTATAAAACGATTTGAAATACAAACAACAATGAACAAAGCGACAAAGTGAAGATTAAATTGTAAAATTAAAAATTGATAAAAACTATAAAACGAGATCACGTTTAAAACATGTGCATCAAATTAACAAACCTGCTGGGCTCGCGTGAGTTACTGAAAATGGAACAAGAACAATAGCACAAAAAGTTAAATCAAAGGCAATTCAACAATTATTTTTATAATTAAGATCAAATTTACCTCGTGTGGTTGTCACGAGACCAATAGATTTGCCGGCGTTCAATGCCCATTTCGCAATGGATTCGGTGTGATATGCTTTTTCAGTTCCGGCCGTACAATCTGTTCGCCGGACCTTTGCACTCACCTAAATACGAGGAAAAATTTAATATATTTTGCGTAAACAAAATAGAATTGAGAAAGAATATTTATATTTATAAATAATATCAATTTTTTTTATCAATACCCCTAACCATGTGTGTTCTTTCTTGTACAACATTTTTTTTTTACAAAGAAAAAGTGTCCAAAAAATGTTTTTATTGAAAGGTTTATTCGGAGTGAAATGTATACTCAAGGTTGCGATTTTGAGTTGACCATAGTTAACTATAAGCATATTCACATATTTTCATAGATAAGGATATTTATTTTATCCATAAAAGATGACGGATGTATTAAGATTTTTTTTACGGATATGGAAAAAATATTTTTTTTTAATCCAACGGACGTGCAATTCATCCATATACGAAAGCTTAATGTGATGTACACTGTTAAAATATATATCTATATATGTCATATATTACTTACGCCAATCGTTCCATAATTTGCCTTCACTCCATTCAAATAGGCTGTGGAATTTATTAAGAAAATATTTGAAATTCGAATTCGTTTTTGATAAATGAATTTTAATCATTACCTGTCGCTGTACAGGCTGAATCGGCTACCTGCATGTCAACGCAATAAGTTTTTGACATTGCAACATGTGGAAAATTTTCGAACGAAAGCGCCTTTTCTTCGCCTGCGAAAAAAATAGAAATTCAAAAAGTTGAATTAAATTTAAATTCAAATCGCATTGAAAAGAAATCAAATGTATCAACAAAAATAGCGAAAATCAATAAAAAAATATTTACGAAAGAATTCTCACCTCCAACTCCATAAACTCGTGTTGCAGCTAATGTTGGTATACTCATACCATCGCCCAGGAATAATATTGTATTTTTTGCAACATTTTCGTTCAAATTCGATGTTTTAGTTATTTGTTGTTGAACAAAATCGACTCCTTTTTTTAGATGATAATCTCTATGCAGTTCGTCGTGATACAGATATGAAGTGACTGCTATTTCTGGGACTCTATCGAATCCTGGCTTCGCTTCGATTCCACGTTCGACAACAGCCAACAACAACAATACGACAACAACAAACTGCTTCATTTTGTTAAGTTTTCGTTTTTGATTGCGAAAAATTGAAAAATCTGTCGTGACCACCTGTGAGTGCAAACCGCCGCTTCACGCTGGATAAACGAGAATATTCAACTGAAAATAAATGACAAAATAATTTATAATTTATAAGGAGATTATCAGCACTCGATTTCGTTTTGCTTGTGTATGGTATACTATACTTCGATTTGGAGCCATAATAAACTGTGCAAATATAGCTATTTACTGTGAACACACACACACATTGGTGTGGAGAAGAAAAATCGTGATGGAAACAAATACTATCGTAAAAAGTGTGCACATTGTAATTGTACATGTTTGTGTGAAAGTACACACAATATCAAACTTTGGTCACGTTTTGATTTGAGCTCGTGAAGTTTTGTGAGCTTTGAAGCGAGGCGTGATAGTTGTAAACATACAATAATTGATAGATGGCTTGATTTTTTTGTCGTCATTGGAATTTTTGCTGTTGGAATTTACTTTATATGCTGATTAGGTGTTGTAAAACCATTGAACCTCTTCTTGTTAAATTGATAACAATTTAAATTTAAAGTCTATTTGTTGTTACATTCTTTTTACATACATACAATTGTAAGTCTTTTATCGCTTATTCGAAAACTGTTGCGGCACACAAGTCTCGGACCGGGGGAAAGAAGTCAGAAATCAGTGCGTGTTGTAAACAGGCTTGTGTTTTCGATTATGGCTCGAACGTGATAAGCACGTGCAGTTTATTCATTGAATATATCGACCATTTTAGTCAAGTCATCGTTGTTAACAATTTTTATTTGGTGTAATAATAAAAAAAAAATCCATATTTTTGAGAGAATTAATTTTAAATGATTGACGCATTCTTTTGACACGAATTAAAATTGCGGCCTGAATAAATAGCAACTCATCGCAACTTTTGAACTATATGCAACTCTATCGAGATTAATATTTACTAAAAACAGCACTTTACATTTCCATTTGACTTTCCCCATTCAAAATCAGCAGATACAGATCTTAAAAACCAGTCGTAAAAGATAATTATAACATTTGTGAAATGCACATTTGTACCCTGCACCACGAAACTCATATATAAATGATAAACAAACGAAAGTGCTAATTATGAGCAACGACAAAATAAAGCAATCAGACAAAGAAAATATAAAAAAAAATATTGATCATGAAAAAAAAATATGAGAATAATCAAATCGGCTGTTTGACGCACATTAAACACTTTACTTTTTTACAATGGAAAAACGTTTACCATAAACGAGCCAGCAAAAATGTACATTATTGACCAATCGTTTACGCTTTGTTGCTTCCCAATTGCCCATCGGAAACGTTCAATTGACTGTACTGATTGTTGTTGTTATTGTTTTTTCTCGTTACTTCAATAATTCTTAGCGTACACAAATTCAATAGATTTTTCATACGTTAATGGAAATTGTGGTTAAAATAAAAATTTAAGACGAACTTGATCTTTTCATCTAATTACTTTTTATATGACAACACGTCATATAAAACAATTTGTGCAACAAAATTGACATTAGTTTTGTCGTGAAATTAATTAGCGTTACAAATCCGCCTCGAATGACAAGATTTTGTTGTATACGAACGAGATTACTCATTTTCTGACACTTTATGGAGATTTTATGAGCGCAAAAAATATTTATAGTATAATTTTTGGACTGATTATGTTATCCTTTGTCACGTTTATGGGTATAATTCGGTCTGTTGTTTGTACTGGTTTTACAATCACGTGCAAACGTGAGCAATTGAACATCACAACACCGCACAGGCTAGCACATGATAAGGAAAACAATACAATTCTCAACATTGTAATTATTAATAGCGTAATTTTCATGACAATTTTTTTCTACTATACCATGTACAATTATATTCGTTCAGATTTTTTGTTAAAATATGTACAAATACATTTATAGTACAATAACGGATGACTATATTTTGATAAGCAACATCGAAAAACTGTGCAAATAACGACTCATAAGCCAAATGAGCACACACAGAGACGTAAGCAATAAATTGAACGTGTTTGACGCTTTGTAAAGTGTAACAACCAATAAAACGGATCAACTGTCTATAAATTTTTTATAGACAACATTTTTTCGTTCAGTCAGCCACCAACAGCGGGACGCACAACCTATCCTCTCTCTCTCAGTGTGTCGGTTTTATTTCTTGTCGCTTTAATTAGACATTAATTTTTCAAACACTATTTCGAAATGATTAGTTTCAGTAGTTTGAGAATTCTCATATTTACTACACTTTTATTCGTTGATGCCACACGCCAAAGCAGTAAGTAATTTTATCGTTTTTACCAAAAAAAAATTAAGTTATTTTTTTATTTAGTTTTTTAATTTTCTTCCTGATTTAAATTGAATTATTTTTAATTTTGTTGTGTTAACAATGTGTTACGCACAAAAATCCAAAATTTCCACAAATTTGTTTGTTTACTGATTTGATTTTGTCTGCAAAATATCTGTTTGATGTAGCGAAAATAAGCCAATTCTCGATAAAATTAGCACTTTTTATCGTATTTTTTTTTCGCACGCTCTAATTTTCCAATAATCATTCTTCCAAAAATCTGTTAATAAAAACTAAAAAACATATTTTTTTTCTCAGATGTAGAAATTCTCACGAAATCCGATCTCTTCATCCCGTTGGAGCAGCCGACGGAGCCAAAAGTACTTTTCAATACAAATTTAGATGAAAGCGATGCTGAGTATTGGAAAAGAGATGCTCAAAACTATTTAAAAAATGTTATTGATGGCCCAAAGAAAGAGCGGGTGGAAAAAATGAAGCAGAAAAAAGCTAAAAATATTATTTTATTTCTTGGAGACGGTACTATTCAAATTTAGCGGACGTTTATGAACGGAAGATAATTGACTAATAATTTAACTAATGTTTAGGTATGTCGTTAGCAACCGTAGCAGCGGCACGAATGTATTTGGGAAATGAAAACAAGCAACTGTCATTCGAGCAATTCTCTCATTTCGGCTTATCTAAGGTACGAAGTCAACTATTTGTGAATAAACATTTTTTTTACTAATACATACAATGCTATTTTCATCAAATCGAAACACTTAATTCTATGAAATTTACTGTCAAAATAATAATTATTTTAAAAATACTGTTTCCAGACATATTGTGTAGATAAGCAGGTAGCTGATTCTGCTTGTTCCGCAACTGGTAATTACTATTTGATTTTATTTATCATCAACGCACATAAAACGAATTTAAACTAATTTCGAATGTTTTTCCATTCAATGATACAATGTAGCTTATTTGAGCGGGGTTAAAGCCAACTATGGAACAATGGGTATGTGTGGCATATTTATATTAATTTTCATTACATGCATTTTAAATAATCAAAAAATCAAAAGCGATTTAGAATGAAAGAAACCGGGGTTTGATATAATTTATTAATCTAAAAGTAAAAACAATTTTCAAATGAAATGAAGTTTGCGATAGCAAACAGTTTTATGAAAAATTGACTTTTGGTAGTGGAGAGATGTAGTTTTAGATGTGATATATGTAGCTTTAACGGTTTTCTTTCCATTGTAAATGTGTGTGTTCAATATTTTCATCATTTATTGATTCATTTCGATTATTTCCATTTTTCTTTTGTTATTCTCCCCTAGGTCTGAGTGCAAAGGTGCCTATAAACGATTGCAAAGGTCAAAATGATCCAACCAAACAAACAGTGTCTATTGCAAAATGGGCACAAGATCAATGCAAAGACACTGGTTTAGTTACAAATGCTAAAGTCACCGATGCATCACCGGGCGGACTCTATTCGCGTACGTACACTTTTTTTACTAACAAGATTAAATGATAAGAAACGATAAGCGGTTCGAGGACTATTTACGCTCCGAAAAAATCAGAGCCAATATTAAAGTGCTAGATTTTTATACGCGCTACTTGACATAAACTTTTTATTCAATTCGATTACTGTTTTTTTTTTTAATTATACTTGAAATTTTTAATTTCATGTAGTTACTCCTTTTCGTTATTTTATCGTTTGCTGTATTTCATTACTATATTGGAATCTTCTTTTATCGTCACTTGTTTTGTTTTTATCTACCATATAAAATAGATATTGCAAATCGTAATTGGGAAAATGATAAAGAGCTGCGCAAAAACGGTTGCGATCCAGATGAAACTTTAGACATTGCACGGCAACTTGTTGAAAATGAAGTAAGTAAAAAAATGAAAGTAGTTTTGGCTGGTGGTCGAGAGGAATTTCGTGATTCGTCGGTGTTGGATGAGGAGGGCAAACCTGGAAAACGTGGCGATAAACGAGATTTAATTAAAGAATGGGTTGACAGCCGAACGAAACAGGGAAAGACACAATTTGTTTACGATAAACAAGGCTTAAGTACTGTTGCCAATAACACAGAATATTTGCTGGGACTTTTTAACAATGGCCACTGTCCATACAATACTGTAATCGTCGATAAAAAAATGCAAAAGCCAACACTCACCGAAATGACAGAGGCTGCAATCAAACATATGTTGAAACAAAAGAACGATAATGGTTTCTTCTTGTTTATCGAAGGTGCACTCATCGATAAAGCCCATCACGATAACTACGCTCGCATTGCACTTGATGAAACGAGAGAGTTTGCCAAAGCCATTGCACTTGCACAAAGCATTACGAACGAAAATGAAACTCTAATTGTCGTCACTTCCGATCACGCACACACAATGACCTACAATGGACATTCGGTAGGGAAAAAATTTAATTATTAACTAAAAACTTTTCAAGTTATTATTATAATATAAAAAATATGTTTGTCTCTTCAAATATACAGAAACGTGGTAATGATGTTCTTGGATTAAGCTCTGAAATCGCTATGGACGGTTTACCATATACAACTTTAAGCTATGCAAATGGTTTGGGGTATTATTATACCTACCATGAGAATGGCACACGCATCGATTTATCGAACACCAACTTATCGAATCCATATCATAATTATCCGGCCACTATTCCACTTCTGTCCGAAACGCACGGCGGTGAAGACGTTGGAATCTATGCAACTGGACCCAAATCACATCTATTCGTAGGTAATTACGAACAATCATACATTCCCTTATTAATGGCAAATGCTGCTCAAATCGGTCCATTTGCCAAAGAAAATGAGAAGTGCTATAGCAAGGCACCAGGAGGATCTACATCAGCGTCGAGGATAATATCTCCAAATGTTATGCTGCTATTCGTTTTACTGTCACCTATGATTTTATCAAAAATTATTAGATCTTGATTCATTTGAAATTATTCTTATGAATTCTATTCTAATTTTAAATATAATACAATATAAAATTGTTTTTTTTTTTTAAGTGCCGAATTTTAGTTAAGTAAATTATATGAGATTTCCATTGCGAGAAATCCGGCAGAATTACCTGAATAATTTCCATCAATGGATTTGTTGAACATTTATTTAAGAGTATTATTTTTTATGTTATTTATGAACAATGTAAAGACTTTAAGTTCCTAGATTTAAGCAGAGATTTAACCAAAAAAACGAATCAAAAATAATAATACATACACAGAAAAAATGGTTAAATTCTGATGGTCTTTTTTTCGCAAATTAAAATCGACATTTCGTATTTATAATGTTCTTTTTTTCAGAAATTTAAACATTCTCTCTGTAAAAGTGTTTAAAATTTGAAATAAAATGATTTTATTTATCCATAATAGGTGACATAAGTATCTTGTTCAGTGTTGTATATATATTCTCACTTCTATTGTATAATACATTACAATACATTTTAATAAAATTCCTATTTCTATTTTTTGACTCGATAATGAATAAAAATCGCTGAAGATCGATAGACAAAAACCAAAAATTCAACACAATACCGTTAACGTTGTTCAAAATATACAAAATATACTTAATTTTCTTTCTTTCTGTAAATAAGTCTGTATTTTCTATAAATGAATTGTTCAAAGTAGTCTCGAAAGATAAGGTCCGGATCGGTATTTTCCTCGTCAACAACTGTTTTGAGGACTTGTCGTGGATCTTCCCATTTCCAAAGTTTTCGATGTTGATATGTTGTTCGAAATGAGCTATACACCATTTCGGGATCTGGTATTTCGTTCAGATAAAAGTGTTTGTTCGGAGTTCTTGACGTATCTGTGTAACGAAATTCTTGACGTTGTTGATCGTGTCGTTTGCATATATTTGGTTTTAAAATTTTTAATAATAAAAGTCCATGCGGAAAATAAAATTGCTCTGGATTCAAAATATCATTAACACGAATCCCAACTCGCACCTTCCAATCTTTCCTTTGGTAGTTATTTAAAGACTCGAAAAATGGTCGCATATCTAATAAAGGATAGAGTGTTTTACATCGAAGTGGTGCTACGTAAATATTTGTACCATTTCTCACACCCATCTTTTTATGTGCTTTATTTACTGATTCAACAAATTTGCGACAAAGTTCATTGCGTTTCTCCAATTTGAAATTTCGAATGTTCATGCCACCAAGAACGATGCCATCAATTACATGGATTGCATATATCATTGTTTGAGCGCAACCTTCGCCGACCAACTCCTTAACGGTTTCCCCATAGAATAATGTGTTTGGTGGAATTTCAATAAATATGCCTATCAATGGTTCCCATCCGCGTCTGATCGAGTATTTATAGACATCCGAATTGCCTTTGCTCATGAAAAATGTTCGTACCGATTTGCCGGAATTTCTATCCACATTGACAGGAACGAATGCCCAGTCCGATCTATCGAAAAATAGGTTTTCGAAATCTGTGTTATGTGTAAGATTCCGTTCGATTGCATTAAACAACGTTTGCCTGTCCGCATACCAAGTATCCATAAGAGTTCTGAGTATTTGATCTGTTGAAGGTTTTGTGGGTGCTCTTCGTATTTCATTCGGTACACGCCAAATGTCTAGCAATTCATTTTTTAATGCTTCTTGTTTTGGCTCATGCAAATTTGTGTTCTTACTGAAATGGGCGATCTTGAGCAAAGCAACTACTTGATTGTCGCCGATTACATTGTTACTTTCACAAATGTAATTGTAGAATGTCTCGTCTTTTTTCATAACCTCAAACGGGACTAATTCGTTGATGTCCGAATCTGTGTTGCGATTGTCATGCAAATGTACGTTAACATCGAATAAATACTGTTGGATTGCATCTGTGTTTAATTTTTTCCACTTGCACACTAAATATCGCTCGGAATTCGCTGGCCGACTTGTGTTTGGTTTAATGATGCTGATCTTTTTGAAACATTTATACATGAGATAAATGAGTCCCACGCTGAACGGTGTAAATAAATCGAAAAGTTTCGTCACAAAATGACCATCGACGCGGACGATTGTGAGTGCTGTTAGACATTGACATAAATACAATTGTTTTGATAAGATTTCTTGTACATTCTCTTGGCCTTCGACCGAAAAACCACCATCGCTCATCATGAAATGAACACCCATCGGAGTTCGGTTGAGCACATGTTGACTGAACGAAAGAATATTTTCTGGATCATACACATTACCATCTTCTTTAATACCGTAAAATGTATCAAATGTTTCTGGATGGCCGGCCCAAAATTGATCAAGCTTAAAGTCATTCTCATTACGCAATGTGAAACCAAATCCCTTTGCATGCCATTGTTTGCGCCATAGTACTGAAAGTTTAACAGAAAACTTTTCAGTATAAAATTTACAAAAACAAAAAAAAATTGCAAAACTTACCGTATTCCGAAAAACCGCCTGGACCAGCACAAACATCAGCAAAATATAATAGTTCATTCTCTTTTACAAGTGACTGTCCAGCTTCGTCGACTGGATTTGTAAACATCCAATCGCACACTGCATCCAAGTTGGCCATTTTAACTCCTGCTCGATTCATGAAAATGGCATTGCTTATCGTCTCAAACGGATTGGATCTCGAGCGAGCATTTCTCATATCGTCGGTGCCCAACTTATCGAATAAACTTTTAGACGCCAACACATTTCTCAGCACGAACGGAAGGCAAAACTTAGTTTCTTTTTCGATTGAAAGTTTTTTCGGCCCTACAACCATCCATGCTTGCAGTTCACCAGACGATTTTGTTTCCAAATCATCGGAACTATCAGAAATAAATGTAACTGTTTCATGTAATTCAATCTTTTCCATGTCTGGTGTCCATTTTGTTGCGGCCAAATCAAGACCTTCCAATTTATAACCAAAACCACGACGTCCTTTTTGTATTGACGCTTCAATCGGCTCTATTCGACCTTGGCCTTGTTTTCCCAGCCCTGTTTCGCCAGTGAAACCCATTTTTTGCATCATCTGAATTGATTTATCCGAAAAGTTCTCAAATTGGTTGGTGTTGATTGAAGTCTTTTTGGGGGATTCTACCAGACAGTCCGCGAATGGCCGAAAAATTTTTGTTCTTGGCTGCGGTGGTGGCACATTCTCAGCATCACTATCATTTTCGTTTGTCGTCTCCGAATATGTGAACGTACGCTTCATTAGACTCAAATCCATTTTGAAATTGATGGCTTTAAATTTAGTCTCTGCACTACAATTAAAAAAACTTTTTTAAAAAAACATACAAACGCTCTTTTTAACTTTGTAATGGAAGGTACGCTAGTTTTTTTTCAGTCGCATTACTTTTCAGTGTGTGCACTGCAGCAGTTTAACAGAGACTAAAGAACAACGGTTAACTGTCAAAGCATGCGGAATGATATGCAACAAATTCTAACCAAAAAAAGAAGAGAACGAATGACAATTTTAGAACATTCGTCTGACCACATCAAAAACTATTGAAAGGGATTTTTTACAGCAGCTTTGAATTTTTTCTTTGAAAGAGGTCTCTTGATGGTAATTGCTTTCTAGTGGTTCGAAATAATGAAGCGGTGTCATAAGTATTTTATGTTTTTCTTCATTGTCAACATGACTTTCGTCAAGAATTAATTGATGGTGTATTGTGTTTCATTACTCTTTTAAAAAAAATTGGCAGAATTTCCCTCAGCCGCTCATATAGAAAGTACCGCTGCTCTGGTGTTTCGATATTACTTAAGTGAATAGTTTAAATCGGTTGCTATTCTTCTTTTTTTTTCAATGAGAGTACATTTTTTTTGATTTCTACTCGAATACGCCATACTTTTCTTTAATAAAGTAACCAAATCAAATAGGTAAAGAGTGATTTCTTTTATTCAAAATGTTTTATAAAAACAACGTAACTTTAAATAAAATGATTTTATTTTATTTATTAACGTCTAATAAGTATTATTATTAAGTATGTAGTACTTTAAATATGAACAGGTCATTACATTTGTATTTTTCTTTTATTGACTTGACATTAAATTCATAAAAATGATTAAAAAAAAGAAATGATTGATGGAAACAATGTTAAAATATTTATTTTAGACGTCCATTGTTGCTTTTATACAAAAAATTAAAAATCATTATAAATGAATCGTTCAAAGTCTACTCGATAGAGTAGGTCCGGTCGACGACATGCATCATTAATTTTTTCTTCAACTTGTAGTGGATCCTCCCATTTCCAAAGTTTTCGATGTTGATATGTTGATCGAAATGAGCTGTACACCATTTCGGGATCCGGTATATCGCTGAGATGAAAGTGTTGGTTCGGAATCTTTTGCATATCGGTGTAATAATAATCTTGACGTTGTGGATCGAATCGTTTGCATAAATTCGGTTTTAAAATTTTGAATATTAAAATTCCGCGCGGCACATAAAATCGATTTGGATTCATAAGATCACGAACAAGATGGCCAAGCCGAACTTTGCCATCTTTCAGTCGGTAATTAGTAAGAGAGCCGAAAAATCGTCGTAAATCCAGCAGTGGATAGAGTGTTTTGCATCGAATTGCTGCTGTACTTTTAACTCGATCACTGTTGATCCCAATGTTTTTCGGTGGTTTATTTAACGATTCGGCAAATTTGCGACACAGTCGATTGCGTTTCTCCAGTTTGAAATTTCGAATGTTCATGCCGCCCAGAACGATGCCATCAATTATATGCATTGCATATACCATTGTTTGGGAGCCACCTTCGCCGGTCAACTCCTTAACGATTTCTCCATAGAATAATGTATTTGGTGTAATTTCAATAAATATTTCTGTCAGCGGTTCCCATGTGTGATTGTTTGTGTATTTAAAGACATCCGAATTGCCTTTGCTCATGAAAAATGTTCGTATCGTTTTGCCGACATTTTCAACCACGTCGATAGGAACGAATGCCCAGTCTGTTTTGTCAAAAAATGTATCTTTGAAATTTGTTTGGAGTGTTAGACGCCGTTCGACTGATGTAAACAACAATTGTCTCTCTCCATACCAAGTATCCATAAGATTTTTGAATATTTGATCTGTTGGTGGTTTTGCGGGTGCTTTACGCATTTCATTCGGTACATTCCAAAAGGAAAGCGACTCGCTTTTGAACTCTTCTTGCTTTGGCTCCCGTAAATTTGTGTCCTTACTGAAATGGGCGATTTTGAGCAAAGCAACTACTTGATTTTCGCCGATTACATTGTTACTTTCACAAATGTATTCGTAGAATATCTCATCGTTTTGTATCACCTCAAAAGGGACCAACTCGTTGATGTCCAACTCTGGATTACAGTTGTCATACAATTTTTCGTTAACCTCAAATAAATACTGTCGAATTGCATCTGTGTTGGATTTCTTCCACTTGCACACCAAATATCGCTCGGAATTCGCTGGCCGACTTGTGTTTGGTTTAATAATGCTGATCTTTTTGAAACATTTATACATGAGATAAATGAGTCCCACGCTGAACGGTGTAAATAAATCGAAAAGTTTCGTCACAAAATGACCATCGACGCGGACGATTGAGAGTGCTGTTAGACATTGACATAAGTACAATTGTTTTGATAAGATTTCTTGTACATTCTCTTGGCCTTCGACCGAAAAACCACCATCGCTCATCATGAAATGAACACCCGACGATGTTTGTTTGAGCACATAATCCGTGAGAGATTCAATGTTGTCTGGATCATACACATTACCATCTTCTTTAATACCGTAAAATGTATCAAAAGTTTCTGGATGGCCGGCCAAAAATTTATCAAGCTTAAAGTCATTCTCACAACGCAATGTGAAGCCGAATCCCTTTGCGTGCCATTGTTTACGCCATAACACTGAAAATTTAAAAGAACACCATTCAGCATAAAATTCACAAAAAAAAAATATTGTCAAACTTACCGTATTCCGAAAAACCACCAGGGCCGGCACAAACATCGGCAAAATACAATAGTTCATTCTCTTTTACAAGTGGCATTCCATCTTCATCGAGTGGATTTGTAAACATGAAATCGCACACTGCATCCAAGTTGGCCATTTTAACTGCTGCTCGATTCAAAAAAATAGCACTGCCTATCGTCTCAAACGGATTGGATCTCGTGCGAGCATTTCTCATATCGTCGGCTCCCAACTTATCGAATACACTTTTCGACGCCAACACATTTCTCAGCACGTTCGGATTACAAAATTGAGTTTCATCGTCAATTGTAAGCTTCTTTGATCCTTCAACCATCCATGCTCGCAGCTCGTCAAATGATTTTGTTTCCAAATCATCGGAATAGTCGGAAATAAATGTGACTGTTTCACGTAATTGCATATTTTCCATGTCTGGTGTCCATTTTGTTGCGGCCAAATCAAGACCGTCTAATTTAAGACCAAAACCACGACGTCCTTTTTGTGTTGACGCTTCAATCGGCTCTAATCGACCTTGGCCTTGTTTTCCCAAACCTTTTTCGCCAGTGAAACCCATTTTCTGCATCATCCGAAGTGATTTTGCCGAATAATTTTCGGCATATTGTTTCTTCTCTGGTGGCGGCACAAAATCAGTCTCATCATCGGTGCTCTCTTCACTCAACGTTCCAAGACCGTTGGCACGACGCTTCTTTGAATAATCCATTGTTGCGGTTGTTGGGAATTTAGTCTCTGGATATCAATCGAAACACGGAAAATAATTAAATTAAATAAATTAGTCTAGAATGAGATTTTTTGTGGCTTTTTTTTATTTTATCACAATTTTTGTATGTTGAAAGCACTGTGTATTCGATAGTAGCCAAACAGAGACTGTCAAACAATCGGTAACTGTCAATGCACTGTACGTCATTAAATACCAAGACTGTGGCACCTTTGCTAATGACAATTTTAGAACTTTTTACTCTCTTGTCTAGACATCAATTACAAAGCCGGTTTATATGAAAAAAAAATTCTATTATTGTTCTGATAGCCTTACAAATTAACGAGAAAAAAGGCAAAAATCTCTTTAATATTTTTCATCAATGTTTTTTTCTTAGGAAAATCTCAAAAAATTCAAATAAATATTATCCAAATCAACCGACATTTTCGACTCGCATCGTGCAAGTAGGTTTAGTACTTCATATTTTAGTACACATCGTTATGGTTTGACGTTTCACCGAACATTACATTTGTAGTGGTAGATATTAATCCATTTTGGCTCGGCATAAAATCTCCGTCTCTAGTGCGTTTTAGTGATAATTTTCAGAAATATCGCCAAAAAATTGTAGAAAACTACAATTTTCTGTACATAATCCAATTAATTGATGTGCTTAAATAAATTGGATTTGTATTTTACACAACAATAATGGCCGATTTCCTTGATTCCGAAGCATCTGAAAGCGATGTAAGTTCATGCATTTCATAATGCACAAATATTATTGGGAAAATATTAGGTTTTCTGATATTTTGCACTTTGGAACAAAGTGTCCAATACAAAGTTCATGTTTACCGTTATTGATTCCAACAGAAATAATCAAGTTCAAACAAATGATTGCCATAATATTTGTTTGATAAACGTTGGTTTTTTTGTGTGTCGAGCCTATGTGCTATGTGACCTTAGTCAACAAACCGCTACGCAATGATAATTACGAAATTATAAAAAAGTGATCTGATAATTGTATACAAATCAATCATTGCATTGAAATGGTTCAGCAACAATTCTCAGAACTTATAAAAGTATGGAATTTTGTATGATGTTGTAATTCAATACAATGAATGTTCATATGTAAGTAGTACATATTTGATGGTAATTGGCAGACAAGTCAATGCCGATGCACGACGACATCTATGATTCGGAGCAAACATTACAAATGTCTTGATGTATTTTTCGCGCGTATTTTCGAACGAACTTTTTAAAGCATTGAAACATTTATTTTTAATATGATTTTTGTTTAATTTTCCATTTTATTTTGATGTAGAACTCAGAAAATGAGGATTTGGAGCCACATGAGCGTAGGAAGCTCAAAAAGATCAAAGCAATGTCGGATAGTGAGGAAGATGATGATGGTGACGAAGATGGAGGCGTATTAGATGTATGTATATTGCCAATTTTTAAGGAGAATTCACACCGTTCCGTTCGGATAAAAATAATTGGTTTTTTCGTTTGTATAGGATTTGATCGATGACAATCCAATTGAAGAAGATAGCGATGCTGCCAATTCAGACGGATCCAGACGTCAAAAACGCAGAAGTCGAAGTGACGATGAGTTAGATGATCGATTGGAAGACGATGACTACGATTTGCTCGAAGAAAATTTGGGGGTTAAAGTTCAACGAAGAGTAAGGCTTAACATTTTCATTAATTTTTTTGCTCGATTAACATATGAGATTTCGTATCATTCAAAATGTTTTTTTCAAAAAATTTCAAATTCATTTTGTGTTTCTAGAAACGGTTTAAGCGTTTGAAGCGAATGCAAATCGAAGATAGTGATGGCGAAGAAGAAGAAGACAGTGGAATGGATCGTGAAAAGATCGCCAATCAACTGTTTGACGGTGACGACGTAAGTTTCATATTAATTTTTAGCAGATTCACCGCAATTTTAATGCTGACTATTATATTAATTTTGTTTATGTTTTTTATTACATGTACTAAATCTTGTGCTTGTCTTTCGATTCCTTATATTCCAATTTTTGGCCAAAAATTTGCATTTAAAATACAAAAAAAAATTCTTCAAAATTTTTTTCGCATCACTTTCATGCTTTCACACTACAAAATTAAACATAAAAAAAATCAGGATGAAATTATAGAGGTAAAATTTACTATGATTCGGAATTCTTTTCAAAGTGTGTGACCTTTTTTTGGTTTGACAATTTAATCAATTCCCGCTGTTGTTTAAGGGGATTTGTTTGTGATTTTTTTTTAGAAAATCATATAATTATAGTAGTTTTTTTTACAAGATATGTGTACAATTCATGTCGATCAGTTCGATCCAAAGTTGTTAATGTCGCATTTCATTAGTAATGTGGATCAAAGTAGTTGCATGGAATCCATTGCATAAATATCAAACTAAGTTTTTTCTAACCAAAAACAGGACGATGAAGGTAGACGATCCGTTCAAGATCATCAACGCATGGAAGCTGAATACGATGAAGAGATTGAAGATGAAGAATCAGATGCCGATGATTTTATTGTTGACGATGATGGACAACCAATCACACAGAAAAAGAAAAAGGTACACGCATTTTCATGTGAAAAATTCAATATGTCGATTAATCTGATGTTTTTTGACACATTTCTGCAATCATTTTAGGCCCGTCGTATTTTCAGCGATGTCAATTTGCAAGAAGGTCAAGATATTTTCGGTGTTGACTTCGATTATGATGAATTTGAAAAATATGGCGAAGATTATGAATCTGAATCGGAAGCCGAAGACGATTATGAAGATGAGGGGGTGGATGGTGAACGTGAAAAACGGCCAAAGAAAACGACTAAAAAGAAAACCACCAAGAAATCCATTTTCGAAATTTACGAACCAAGTGAATTGAAACGCGGCCATTTTACCGATGTTGACAATGAGGTAATTACATTGATGAAATCAAATATTTTGTGTGATCTTAATTAACAATGGCATTGTTTGCAATAGATTCGAAAAACCGATATACCTGAGCGAATTCAATTGCGTGATATTCCAATAACGGCTGTTCCCGAGAATTCGGTCGAATTGGAAGAGGAGGCTGAATGGATTTACAAACAGGCCTTTACACGGTCAACGGTGTCAGATCGTACCGGTACGGGTGAAGAATGGTTGGAAAAAAATAAACCACCAAGTTCTATTGCCAAAATAAAGCAAGCATTGGATTTCATGCGTAATCAACAGCTTGAAGTTCCATTCATTGCATTCTATCGAAAAGAATATGTACGGCCTGAACTCGACATTAACGATTTATGGACTGTCTATAAATACGATTCAAAATGGTGTCAATTGCATACGCGTAAAAGAAATTTGGCGTTGTTATTTGAAAAGATGCGAAATTATCAGCTGGATAAATTGATGAACAATCCAGATAATGCGATTCCAGACGATGTTCGACTGATTAAAGACGATGACATTGATCGCTTGAACGCGGTACAAACGCCAGAAGAATTGAAAGACGTCCATGCACACTTTTTGCTCCATTATGCACATGAAATACCTGAAATGCAACAGTCATGGCGTAAAAAAGAGAAAGAAAAGCGTAAATTAGAGCGTTTGGAAGCACGACGAAAGCAACTTGATATGTTGGAAGAAGGTGCCGAACCACCGGAAGAAATACCAGATGAGGACGATGACGACGATCAAGTTGAAGACACGTTGAAAGCGGCTCGTGATTCTGGTCCATATTCAATGTGTCGCAAAGCTGGTATTTTGGGCTTTGCAAAACGTTTCGGTTTAACACCCGAACAATTTGCCGAGAATTTACGCGATAACTATCAGCGTCACGATGTCGAACAAGAAGCACTCGCACCGCACGAAGTGGCCAATGAATATGTAAGCAAACGATTTCAAACCATCGATGAAATTTTGCATGCGGTTAAATTCGCTGTGGCTCGTCAAATCTCACGTGAACCAATGCTGCGGAAAAGTGTACGTGAAGTATACTATGAACGGGCTAAAATCTCTGTAAATCCAACGAAACAAGGCCAAAAGGAGGTTGATGAAAATCATGCGGTGTATGCAATGAAATATTTGAAGAATAAACCAGTACGGGATTTGACCGGCGATCAATTTTTGAAATTGTGTATGGCCGAAGATGATAAATTGATAACAATCACAATATCTGAAGTGATTGAAGGCAACACATCGTCTTCGTATTTGGAAGAGGTGAAGCAATTCTATCAACGTGATGAATTCTCGAAAAACGTTCAAGAATGGAATGCATTGCGCGCAAGTTGTGTGGAAGAAGCCATCACCAAAATGGTATTGCCCGACTTGAGGAAAGAGTTGAAATCGATTTTATTGGCCGAATCAAAGGAGTATGTTCTATTGTCGTGTGCACATAAATTGAGCGAATGGATTAAACCGGCACCGTACAGTGTAAGCTTTCCAGATGAAGACGACGACGATTGGGACACAACAAAAGGTGTTCGTGTAATGAGCGTTGCATTCGATGACGATCCATCGCAGGCTGCATTCACCGTATTGATTAATACCGATGGTGAAGTGACTGATTACTTACGTTTACCAAAATTCACGTACAGACGTGGAAAATTTACGCCCGATGATAAAGATGCACCAGACACAGAAGCGCTTGTGAATTTTGTACGCACTAAAAAGCCACATGTGATTGTAGTCGGTGGTGAATCAATGCGAGCAACAAAAGTACAACGTGATTTAGAGGAACTTGTTGGCTACTTAATGGAAAACAGCGATGAACCGTTTCCAAAAATTCCCGTTGAAATCATTAACAATGATCTTGCAAAAGTGTATGCCAATTCAAAGAAAGGCAGCACTGACTTCCGTGAATATCCAATCATTTTACGACAAGCAATTTCGGTGGCACGACGCCTACAAGATCCACTCATTGAATATTCACAATTGTGCACGACCGACGAGGAAATTTTATGCTTACGCTATAACACACTGCAAGATCAATTGCTAAAAGAAGACTTATTGGATGCAATCAATTTAGAATTTGTCAATCGCACCAATGAAGTTGGTGTCGATATCAATTTAGCCGTACAAAATTCGTTAACCATGAATTTGGTGCAGTTTATTTGCGGTTTGGGTCCGCGTAAAGGTCAAGCATTGTTAAAAATTCTCAAGCAAACAAATCAACGATTGGAAAATCGAACACAATTAGTTACCCATTGTCACATGGGCCCAAAAGTATTTATCAATTGTTCGGGCTTTATAAAAATCGACACAAATTCATTGGGTGACAGCACCGAAACCTATGTGGAAGTATTGGACGGTTCAAGAGTGCATCCGGAAACATATGAATGGGCACGAAAAATGGCTGTCGATGCTTTGGAATACGATGATGACGAAGCGAATCCGGCCGGTGCTTTGGAAGAAATTCTTGAATCGCCGGAACGACTGAAAGACTTAGATTTGGATGCGTTTGCTGTTGAACTTGAACGTCAAGGTTTTGGCAATAAAAGCATCACTCTATATGATATTAGAAATGAACTGAATTCACGCTATAAAGATCTTCGTCCAGCTTATAAACCGCTTAGTCGTGAAGAACTATTTGAAGTGCTGACAAAAGAGAATCGTAACACATTCTATGTGGGTAAATTGGTGTTGGCCAAAGTGATTGGGATTGTGCATCGAAAACCGCAAGGTGATCAACTCGATAATGCTGATCCAGAGAAAAATGTTGAAACCGGTCTGTGGCAGTGTCCGTTCTGTATGAAGAATGATTTTCCCGAATTGAACGATGTGTGGAACCATTTTGATGCCAGCGAATGTCCGGGCAAGGCGACAGGCATTCGAATTGTACTGGAAAATGGTGTGACCGGTTTTATACATTTAAAACAAATGTCTGACAAACATGTAACGCACCCTGAAGAACGTGTTCATATTGGACAAGCAATTCATTGTAGGATCATTAAAATTGATTATGAACGGTTTAGTGTTGATTGTTCGTCGAAAAGTTCGGATTTATTGGATCGCAACAACGAATGGCGACCGAAAAAAGACAATTACTATGATCACGATCAAGAAGAAAAAGAAATGCGTAAAGAGGATGAAAGTAAGAAACAAACTGCACGTCAACAGTACACCAAACGTATCATAGTACATCCGGCATTCCACAATAAATCGTATGCAGAAGCGGTTAAAATAATGGCAACTATGGATCAAGGTGAAGTCATCATTCGACCATCAAGTAAAGGTTCCGACCATTTGACGGTAACATGGAAGGTGGCCAATGATATTTATCAGCACATTGATGTCCGTGAAGAGGGCAAAGAAAATGTGTTCAGTCTGGGTTCATCACTTTGGATTGGCAACGATGAATTTGAAGATTTGGATGAAATTATTGCGCGTCATGTAACACCAATGGCACAATATGCACGAGATTTGCTCGGCTATAAGTACTATCGTGATGCAGCCGGCGGTATGAAAGACAAAATGGAAGAAATGCTGAAGGAGGAAAAGAAGAAAAATCCAAATAAAATCCATTACTTCCTATCAGCATCGAAAAATTATCCCGGAAAATTCCTTCTGTCCTATTTACCGCGCGGTAAAATTCGTCATGAATATGTATCAGTAACGCCAGACGGTTTTCGTTTCCGTCAACAAGCATTCGAATCATTAAATTCATTGCTCAAATGGTTTAAAGAGCACTTTAAAGATCCAATTCCAACGGCAACACCAACACCAACCATTACGCCACGCGGTTCAGTCGCAAGCAGTACACGCAGTTCGTTTCCAACACCGAATATCTCACAAACCAGCTACGCCAGTGAAGCAATCAATAAAGTTGCACGTAATTTACCATCGCATATGTTACATTCCCTGAGTCAAGTAGCGAACAAAACGCCACACTATCCACATACACCTGGTGCTTATGGTAGCCAATCATCGTATGTAAATACTCCATATACACCGAGCGGTCAAACACCGTTCATGACACCGTATCAAACGCCACATCATGCGGTACAAACACCACGATATGGTGCCCAATCAACACCAAGCGCTGTATTTGCACATCCAAAACCGCCTGCACAAAATCGGCCTAGATCGAATCAGTATCAGGGAAATCATTCACAAAATCAACAATGGGCATCGGGAAATCGGTCACGCAACTCACATCGTGCATCACCACATGTGCCTAGTCCACGAAATCGATACACACCAACACAAAGTTCGCACAGCCGACCACATCATCAAAGTCAATCATCGTATTCAAAACCGAGCGCAAGCAACGGTACTGCCGGCGACGACGATTGGGACGATGATGATTGGGATGCACCAACACAACGGGCTACACCAAAGTAAGTTTTCATTTTCTGAATTTAAGATCGGTTTCATTAAACAGATTTTTTTTTTTCATAGACAAAGCAACAAACCAACATCGTCGTATCAAGCTGATGCTGAAGACGATTGGGATGATGCAGTGGCCAGTTGGGGCAAACAAGTTTCATCGTAAGTTTCAAAAAAAGCATTTTTTTAGCCAAATAACTTCACTGAAATGACAAAAATACGTTTTTTCCTTACTTTTTGTAGAAAATCAAATACACCTCGCTACGATGACAAGGGCAAACAAACACCACAATATCAATCTGGCAAAAGTCCACGTTCAGTGCGAAGTACACCGCGTACAGATACTTCACCACGTTCAATGACTCTCGGTGACGCAACACCATTGTATGATGAGAATATTTAAACTGCTTCCTTAACAAACACAGCTGCAGCAAAGAAAAAACCTCATTATCTAAAATAAGGTTATTCTATTATGAAATCAACCAATCGTTAATTCCAATTTGCTAAATTTGCTTTATGTATACCGTTGAAAAAAAAAGAGAGAGGCAAAAGCAACCACAAAACAAACCTAATTGATTGACTAATGAATATTTTCTTATTTCGGTAATAAAATTAAACGAATTAAAGTTCTATGGATTTTAATAAATTATGTCTTTTCTTTCGAACTTTTTCAAAATTGATGTTTTTACCATTCGTTTTATAATTTAAATTCTTACCGTTGTCAGTTTTCTTTGATTTAAAGTTCATTTGTATTTCTTATTTCAATTGTTAGCGAATCATTTTCCATGACTGAATTTAAGTGGAAATTTGAATTTACATAAATTATTTTGATTAATTAAAAACAAATACCCAAAACCCGAATAACATTGTATGATGTATATCCTGAAAAGCTATTTGATCTATAACAATAAAGTATATCATTTATAGAAAATGAAAATATGCCATGCAATTTTATGTCATTTCAATTGACTTTTTTCACAGTCTGTTCTAGTTATTTTGCGTTGGCATTCGGCCAAACCATGTACCATTGTAATTTATTTGAAAACGTAAATGTAAATAAGAGAGAGAGCGAGGCACATGATTATCGATACAATTGCCGCATACCAGCATTTTGTAAACTAGTTTGACATCAATAGATTTTGATAAAAATCGATGTTGCAGCTTATTTATGTTTTTAGTTTTAATGAATTTGTTGGCATTTTGCTTGAATGAAAGTCCTGTATGCCAGTGTACGGCAAGTGCTTTAGAGTATTTTCTACATGTTTTCATATTTTCCTTTTTTATTCAAAACACTGGAAAACATACCATATGTTCCACATGATATATTTTGACAGACAGTTTTGGGCCAGTGTCGTACAAAGTATATGAACATTTATCATCACTGGAAAATGTTAAACTATTTTGTTTACCTGACAAAAGTTTGTGTGCCAAACAAAAATAGAATTTTTCTTTGGTACAATTCGAAAGCAATAAAGACAAAGAATATAGGAAAAAAGTTTATAAACAAACTCAAGGCCTACCTTTTTAAAAAAGAAAACTGTTTTCATTACGAAGAGAGAGAGAGAGAGAGAGTCGATAAAAAGCTACCTGAAAAGTTTCAAACCACTATATAAAAATAAAACCACGAAAATATTTTTTAATATCCAAATAAATACTTTTTAATAGATTTTTTTTTCCACTTTTTTTGTTTTTAAATATAAAATGACATAATTTAAGAAACTAACGTTACGGCATGTCACGAGTGTTTTTTATTGAGTTTACCTAATTTGAATTCAATTGAAGTATTCTTGCTTTGTTCATTTTTTTCTCTTTTAAATCCGTTCTTAAATTATAGATTATCAATTAATTTCGAGTTTTTTTCAATGTTTTTTTTTGTTTTTTATATACGTATCGTCATTTTTTTTCTCTACTGCTTAACTTATCAAATGGAATTACTTCTTATGCTTATATCGTACGTTGTTTTTCTTAATTAATTTAATTATTACGCGTGTGTCACATTCATCAACTAAATTAAATTAAGCTTATACTCTAAACAAAACTACGTTCAATGTATTACGGCTACGTCTTTTTTTTGTTTGTTGTTGTTTTAACTTTCATTTCAGATCAGTAGATACTAGATACTTGCTTCATACTTTTATATTTATACAGACTAATCAGACCTAGAAGCTACATTTAAAATGCGTGTAATTTCCAATTGTGTTTTTTTTTCTTGTTTCATTTACGCGCTCGTTCAATCGTTCATTTTTTTTTTTTGCAATTTTTTTTTCTTTTAAATTAAACGTGTATGTTGTGTAATGTCCTGTAGTGAAACACATTCTTAATAAGTGTTTTATCTTCGTTTCGCCGATGCAATCATTTGACGCAACATTGGCTCGGGTGTGCAGACTTTGGGATCACACTTCATTTGGCCATCACCACCGCATCTAATTTATTCGAAAATGAATGAAATGGAAAATAAATCAAGATGAGTGAATTTGTTACTTTCTTTAAAAAGAATTTGCGAACAAAGCGGAGGAAGAAGAAGAAATGTAGTAATTGAATTGTACTTACATGCAATCGATGCATGGTCCGCTGGCGGTTGTAACACGTTCGCCAATTTTGTATGTAATTCCTTGAATTTGGCAACCGCTTCGTGTGACTTTGCCACTGTTTCGTTGGAAATGTGACAGATATGGTGGTAAAGTGGTTGTTGTTGTGGTCGTTGTATTCAAAACGAGACCCATTGAAACCGGGCACTCGTATCGTGGACAACAGAATCCTTGGATTGGTTCTTCGTGACATCCATTGATTGGTGGCGGGCATGATTGTTGCAAGCATATAATATCGCTACGGAAACAGAAGCAAAAATCGCATGGATCGTCTCTTGGAATTTGTTGAGCCGATACATATAATTTGCCGCCATAACGGCATGTACCCGGACCGAATACGGTTGGTTCTTCTTCATCGGTGTATTCTTCTGGATATTCTGATGGCACATTTCCTCCATATCCGCCTTCAAATGATGGTGGAAACGATGGTTGTGAACCAACTCCGGATCCCATATCATGCGTCGACTCTGTAATCTCATTTTGAGTATTCTTAATCGTTGTACTATCACTAATTCGTTCTGTATGGCTACTTGTAAATAGAATTGATGGCAATGTTGTTGTATCAAAGCTTTCGGCAAGTTTCGTCGTAATCTCATTCAATGTTGGTTCGCGAATCAATGGAATTTTATTCGCTGATTCAGGCGGTGTGGCATACACATTTGATTGCTGTTCAATGCTGCCCGTTTTATTTTCGGCTGCAACTGATTCGGTTGTTTGATAATCATGTTCGACCGATGGTGCTGATGAACTATCTGCATCGACTCGATTGAAAATCGATGGTTCACTTGATGATGGTTCTTGTTCAGCTGCTTGAGCGACTGTTGTTACTTCTGGCTCTTGTGGGAATACAATTGGACTCAATGTTTGTATCAAATCAACCACACTCTTAATCGTTGTTTGATCCAAAAGCGATGGTTGTGTTGATGATTGCTCTTCGCTTTCATCTTTTTGGCTGGCACTACTGCTTTCAGCGCTCTGTGATGACTCTTCAACAGCAGGAAATTCATCGTGAGCAATCAATGGTTTGGATGGTTCACTGGTTGCAATGGCCTCTTGTTCGTATGTGGTGGTCTCTGATACACCTGTTTGGCTACTACTGCCTTCAACTGGAACCGGTGATACAATGCCTTCAGTTGATGATTGCTGTTGTTCGATTGACTCATCCTTTTGAGTTGTGACCTCACCTTCGCTCTTCGAATCAGTGACCACTTCTTGCTCTTGTTGTTGCTGTTGTTGTGGTGTCGTATGCTCTTCCATCAAAATTGGTGCACCAGTGCTGGATTGTTCTTGTGAATCGTCTTCAGGTTTATGCTCGTCTTGAGATGGGGTAATTGGAGCCAATGGAACCATTGGTTTTTCATCTTTCGATTGTTCAGTTGTTCCTTCGGCCGGAATTTCTTGATTTTGTTGAGTTGATTGTTGTACTCCTTCGGTTGTGGCATCATTTTCGACTGGAATGGCTGGTTGTTCTGGAGCAATACCTTCTGCGCTCGGTTGAGATTCTATCTTTTCATCATGTTCCATTGGAGCTGAAGTACTTTGTGGTTGCTCTTGTGGTTGTTGTGGTGTTAATGATTCTTGCGTTTGTTGTTCCGTCAATTCGGGTGTTTGTGAGTATTCGGTTGTTTGTTGTTGAATCTCTGGCTCTTGTGACAATTCAATTTCTTGAGTTGGTTTCTGCTCTTCTTTGGATCTAAAACGATAAAACAAATAATTCTGTTACAAGAACGGTTTTCACGAAGTCAATCATTTCCGTTAACATTTATTTATGACACAATAAAAAACGCTATATTTGTTAAAAGAATCCGCACTTTTAGGAAGTTCAGAAAGAAGTAGAGTTTCGAGTTTGACGTTGAGCGAATTATACGCTACTCAAGTCAGTATAGCTATTCAGAGTTTAAAACGTCATTTCAAAAGAAATCCGGTAGTTGTGCCGTTTTGTTTTTACATACTTAAATTTATGTATCCACTTAAAAATCCATGCAATAAATAATAGCCCAATAACACTTACTTGTCCAATTCTGATTGTGATTCGGTTTGTGCAGGCGTTTCAGGTTGTTCTTGTTTTTGTGTGCTGATTTCTTCAGCGCCGCTCTCAGTTGATGCACCTTGTGAAATGCTTTCGTCATGAATCTTATTCAAAAGTGTTGTCACATCGATGATATTTTCTTCGGTGGTTGCCATTTGAATGTGATGAATTGGTTGTTGTTGTTCTTCTTCTGTTTTTTCGTCTTCTTTTGGAGCTTCTTCACTAACTGCATTTTCTGCGGTTGGTTGTTGTGTTTTTTCTGCATTCTCAACGGTTTCCTCTTCACCAATTCGATTCACACTTTCTTCTGGAGTAACAACACTTGGAGCCGATGTTGTAGCGGCTGGTTCTTGTTTGATAGCTTCTGTGGTAACTGATGATTCAAGTTCCGGTTTTGATTGTGCATCATCATCGGTAATATGCATTTGATTTCCAGCTTCAAGTTCTGGTCTTGCGACTGATGCATCCGTTGGCATATGTTCGTCTTGTTTCATGTCAGTGCCTTCGCTTGGTTTGTCGGGCATCACACTGAATGTTGTTTGTTCACTTTGTTCAACTCCAGCACTTGAGGAATGTTCCATGTGTTCTTTTTCAGTGGCAGCTGGTGGAATGTGTTGATCTTCAAGGAATGTGTCATCGAATGATGGTGGTTGTTCTTCGCTTACTTTGCCAGCCGTGGTTGCTTCTGATTCACTGGACGCTTCAGTTGATGGCTCCAATTCAGCTTGTGATTTTGATTCCGTTGAGAGTTTCATGTCAACATCATGTGGTTCTGTTGAGGTTTCTTTTTCTGGAGCTGATGTTACAATTTCCAAGTCCTCTTGTTTCGATGGTACAATCTTTTCGGTGACAATTTCGAGATCTTCTTGTTTCGATGGGAATACGTATGTTGTTGTGGCTTCGGCTTGTTTTTCAGTTGTAACCTTTTCATCAGAAACAAGTGGTTCTTCAGTGTGCTGTTCATCTTGCGATGGTGCGATTGCTGGTTGTTCTTCGGATACTGGTTGCTCAGGAGCTGGACTATCAGTTGCAATTGATTCTTCAATACCTTCGGATGACGTCAATTCTGGTTGCTTCTGTTCAAATTGTTCTTCCGGTTGTTTTTGTTCTGGAACTTCAGATTGTTGAACCGGTTCAGTGGAACTTGCTGCTTCATCTTGTGATTTTCCAACAGTTGTTGGTTCAACTAAATCAAAATCTTGTTTATCCTCTTCACTGACCACGTCGCCTTCCTTGAATTGATTCATGTCGATGCCACCCAAATCCAATTTTGACGTTGCCAATGTCGTCGATTCCTCTTGACCTTGTTCAGTACTTGATGGTTGTTCCTGTTTGGCGTCAGTGCTTGCCATTTCGGGTTTCTCAGATGGACTTTCTTGACCAAGAATGTGTGCATCTTCTGATGAGATTTGACCGTCAGTGACTGGTTCAACTTTGTTATCAGCACTTTCTGGTTGCGCTTCATTTGCCGTTTGTTCCGATTCAGTGGTTGGTGCAGGGAGATCATCTTCAGTTTTGTGCTCTTCTGGAATATTTTCACTTGAAATTTCATTGATTTCTGGCAATCTATCGATTGATTCACTTGGCACTGGAGCACCTGTAGTCGGTACTACTGATTCTTCTTCGCCCTTCTCTTGTGATTCATCCGATAATTTTGGATCCGAAGCCTGTGTAGTTTGTGGCAAACTTTCATCTTCACTTGGTTTTTGTTCGCTTTCAGATGCAGGTGGTTTTTCCGTCGTTACTTGTTCGTCTTCGATCTTTTCGGCTGGTTCAGGTTGTTTTTCAATTTCGGCATGTTGAACAATGTGACCGTCGGTGGTTGAATCTGGAATTAAATTTTCTTCTTCGGCCTGATTTTCACTGCTGGACACTTCATCTGCCAATTTATTAGGTTGATCTGCAATTGTTGTGGCCTCAATTGGTTGTTCGTCCATTCTTTGTTGTTCAGTTGACGATGGTTCTTCAGGCAATTTGACACCTTCTTCAGTTACACTAACCTCGTCAGCACCTTGAATTTCTGGCTGTGTTGTTTGTGGTTCGTCTTCAGCTTTCTGTGGTTCAGTTGAAATGTCAGCTTCTACCTTTTGACCTGATGGCTCTTCAGTTGAAATCTTTTCAGGTTGTGATTCTGGTTGAGATTCTGATAGTGATTCGGTAGATGTATCACTGTCTTTGTGTGATTCAGTTGAGATTTCCTCTTCAGTTGGTCCTTTTTGACTCAATGGTGTTTCCGTTGTACCGATCTCTTCTGGTTTTTGTTCGTCATGTTCTGTTGGTTGCGATTCTTGTGACTGTGGTTCAGTTGAACTATCTTTTTCCTTTTGATCTTCAGTTGAAACGTCAGCATCTTGTTGTACTTTTTGTGTTGTTGGAGACAATTCATCACTTTGCTCTGATTGAGCTTGAGTTGTTACATCCAATGCGCTTTCTTTTGCTGCATCTACGCCTTCATCGTGTAATTTGTCAGGTTGTGATTGTGCATCTTCTGGCATTTCTTCAGCTGCCTTATCGGTAGTTGGTTGCATAATTTCCGGTTGTTCGTCAATTTTTTGCTCTTGTTCTTCTTGTTGTTTCAATGTTGTACTTTCTGCTTCCGATTTCGAAGGTTCAGAGGCGATTTCTTCTTTAGCCGGTGGTTCAGTCTTAGCTGGTTCGGTTCCAAATTTCTCCTCCAATTCACTTGGCATTTCTTGTTCTACCTTTGCCGGTGAGCTCTCAGTTTCTGGTGCATTTGTTTCCTTTTCAACTACTGAAGCACCGATAGTAGTTGCCTCTGGTTTCATTTCATAAGTATCATCCAATTTACTTGAAATTGGTGCCACTGCAGCTGCCGATTGAGGTGTTGTATCGTCAAGTTTGCTGTCAATGGCATTTGTTTGTTCTTCTTCTTCGACTGATTGAGCTGCAGTTGTACCCTCAACTTGTGGTGATTGTTGTTCATCACGATGAATCACTTGATTTTCGGCCGATTGTGTTGATGGTGCGCCAGTGTTAAATTCCATGCTTTCACAATGATAGCTTGGACAACACAAACCGTCTTCATGCAAAACTTTACAATTCTCAGCATTTGGTGGCATTGGAGCGCATTTCACTTTTTCACAACGAACAATGCTATTATGACACAAACACGATTCGTCGCAAACATTTCTCGGTGGAACGCTTGTATTATTTGCATAGCTAATGCCATTGTCCAAGCAATCGCCTTCACCTGGAATTACATTCGATAAAAATTCATCATCTTCATGTGGTTTATGTGCTGGTTCTTCAACTGGACCCAATGTGGTGGCCAATTCAACAATGGATTTGATGGTTGTGTACAAATTGCTCAAAATTCCCTCATTTTCAGTGTCATCTTTGGAGGCCTGCTGTGGTTGACCGGCCATCGGTAAGACGGTGGTGATTTTTTCATCGCCTGACGATCCAGATTCGGCTAAAATGGTTGTAGCTGAACTGTCGTCCAATTTATTCAATAAAGTTGTACTCTCTTCACCTTCAATGCGATCATTGATTGTGTCCGGTTGTTGTACCGCGGTGAAATTGCCTCGTGATGGTTTAACGGTCATATGATCATAATCTTTGTCATGAATTTCATTTTCAGATTCATCAATTCCATGCGATGTAGTCTCAACACTGGATGGCTCTGTTGGAATGGCACCCTTTTCAAAATGTTCCGATGATGAAACGACGACTGCTTCTTGAGTTGTGGTCAAAACCGGTTCAGCAGCATCGTCCTTGTATCCCAAAGTTGTTGTGGCCGCCGATGATTCATCCAATTGATCTGACACAGTTGTCGATTGTAAATCACTTTCGCATTCATAAACTTGTGGACAACATTCGCCTGGGCCAGGTGTACGAGCCGAACAATTTTTGCCATGCATTTCAAGTGGTTTACATTCTTGAACCGCACACACAATGTCGCCTCGCATACAGTAGCAATGTTCACATGCTTGTTCCGTATCAATGTTCTCGCCATCGATATATCGGAGGCCATTGTGATAACAGTCATTCGATGGAACTGGTGCACTGGTCGTTGTAATGACAAAACCTTGTGACGGTGCTTCCGTTGTCGTTTGATCTTCAAGCATTAATGGTAAATCATCATCGCGAGCTACAGTTTGCAATTGATACAAAGAAAAATAAACACAAATTCGATATAAGAAAACACAAAGAAACAAAATGGGATGAGATGGAAACAAATTTGATTGCTTTCCGTGTGCAATTAACACAATATAATAAAAAAAAAGAAAATCAGGATTCATTAAAAACGCATTTAATAATTTACCGCAATCGTAACGAACTGGACAGCAGACGCCTTTATTGTAAATTGGTCGGCAACCATCAACGTGCAATGTACATTCTTGCATTACACAAGACGTCATATTCCGTATACAATAGCACAGTTCACATGGTTTCTTTGGATTTCCAGGAATCTATAAATTCATTTGGCAAGCAAACATCAAATAAAGAAGATAGATATGTTAATGAATGATTATAAAAAATGAAATCCTTTGATTGTTCTGTTTTGTCTTTTCCGTTTTCAATCATTTCAATTCGACGAATTGTGCATTGTGGATAAAAGAATTGGCGTGTACCTGAGCTCCTTCTGGATAAAAATCGCCATCAATCGAACATCCGTGATTCTGGTGCGTTGCTAAATCAGTCGTCGATTGCGATGAACTATGGTCGAGTTCAACTGGCACTAAAAGTCGCAATCAGAGTAAAAATGAAACAAAAAGAAAGAAAAAAGATTTGTTGAGAAAACAAACGGAAAAACTTTTATTTAATCAGTTCGTTCAAGCGAACGCAATTAAAAATGCACACGCTGATTTGTTGGGTGTGTGTGTGAGTGCATTTGTTGCAATGACTATGTGTCTTATTTTTTCTCTCCCTTTCTCTTCCACCAAGATGGGAGATCACAACAAAAAAATCTCTTTATTATATTTGTTGCGCCTATTTTGCGCGTGTATCATTGCGTGTATATTTACCTTCTGGGCACGTAATAATTGGACAGCATTGATCTTCGCGTTTTTCAATCGTACAATCTTGGCCAATCGGCTTTGTAAACGGGCATACCTTCAGGTAGCACATTAGCATTTTATTATGGCATGTACAATTTAAACATGGTTCATTTGTTAGGATACGATCGCCTTCGCTATAATGATTATAGTTGTAATAGCAATCGGCCGATGTTGCTAAATCTGAAAAGGAGATGAGAAGAAAATTATATACGAATTAAAAGGAAAAAAACAGCAACGAAAACATTGAAAACAAATATAAAATCGATATAAATAAACTGATGAAATTTAAATTGTTAAGGGAGCATTTTGTTGTTATATTGTTTGTGCGTGTGTTTTTTTTATAATTCTCGTGAATTGCACAATACGAATGAGGCGAGAGAAAAAAGGCTTTGGCATTAACGAATAAATAAATTAGAATCTTGAATATGTATATTTGTATGTGGTTGTGCGAGAGAGATCTGTAGGATTTTTTAAAAATCATAAATATCTTTATTATATGCCAACACGTCAAAAGAATCACCAAATGTCTGATTTGCTCTTTTGATAGTAATCCTCCTAAACGGATAAAAAAAGAAATATTTCATAATTTATGCATGTCTGTCATTTATTTCATTCACCCAATCGACATCGATAATAAATAATCACCATGAGAATTGATTGTAAATCGTTGAACTTGCCATTTTCCAATGCGAAAAAAGCGCACAATCTTCATTTAATTTTAAAATCCATTCGACATTTATGATTTTTAATCAACTGAAAATCGTCATCTCTCACTCACCCGCTTTTTTCCCATACAGTACAGATCAACAAGCTGAGTAATCTCAGCAGTGTAAAGTAAAGCTCACTTATTTTTTTCTCTCGCAATTTGCATTTTATAACATCAGATAAATCCCGTTAACCAAATTTAAAGTGGATATATATGAACATTTTCTGTTGAAATCATTCTAATGCAATATCTATCTATCTATCAGGCTGTTATCAAAACACATCATTAAACTTACCCGTATCGTTAGCAGCTACATGGATAATTAGAAATAAAGCAAGAATCGCTCCAATCTCAAGCCATCGCGTTCCACGTGGTATAAACGCTGTCATTGTGGACCTGTTCAATATCAAAAAAAGAAACCAAAAATGCATTTTAGTACTTTTACTACAGAACAAAATGTTACTTAAAAAAATTACTTTTCTTCGTTCTCGCAATTTCATTAAATCGAATTGTGGAATGAAATATAAAAATTGAGATCAGAAATCCAAAGAGATTAAGTGACGCGTGGAACGGGAATTGTAATAATTTGAATGAATGTGAAAGAAGCACAAGTTAAAATCGAGTGCCTAATTATATAGGTTGTTATGTTTTTCGCGTGCTGCAGTCAGTAATAAATTAAGGAAAATGTCAGAAACAGCAGCAGCAGTAGCGGTAGAGGCGGTAGTCACAACGGAACCTATATCAGTGTCACTTTATCAAAATTACGCTGAATACAGTTACAAGATGTGGCTCAATTTGCGTCTCTCAATCCGTCAAATTAGCCACATATGATTAAATACGGATGAAAGACACATTAGCAGCGCTTATATCAAAAACAACGATCACGCACACATTCGGTCTCGAATCATCTGCATAATTACATTACACCATACTTAATTGTCAATATTAAAGTGTAATATTCACATTTTCTCTTTTTGCTGTGCCCTTTTTTCGCTGTTCTTCACCGAAAAAACCAACACACTGCGAGATTTCTTGTTTGTCTTTTCTCTTTTTATTTCGCTTTTTCTGGCTCGGTCTCTGTCTGTCTGTCTATCTAAAAATCGAGCGCAAGAGAATTCAACCAAAATGTAGTAATGTACAACACTTCTGTTGCGCGTACGTGCTTACGGTATCATCAAATCGCTGTCATTGTTTAAATAACTCTTAGAGTCGTCCGACGTAGCTCTCTCTCTCTCTCTTGCTCTCTATCATCGTAATGCGTGCTTTTAAATTGATGAAATTAAAGAGAACTTTTACTGTTAAAATTATGATGTGTATGTCTATAGCGCGTGATTTTTTTTTATCTTGTCTTCTCGTAATCGGAATGAAAGGTGAAGTGGGAAAAGAGAGAGAGAGAGAAGGAGAGAATTTCATTGGAAATGTGCTTTATAACGGCGAGAAAGAAATCAGAACAGCATCTTGTCATGCATTAAAACGAAAAGTTCTTTTCGATTAGTTTGGTTTCTCGCAAATGGCATTCTGTTTCAATTTTATTTCTTGGGAAATAAAACGCGGCTCATCGATTGAGGTTTTATTTCAATTAAAATCACTTCGTGATATTCATAATTCGGTGGACGAAGATCGCGGAATCGAAACAATACACCATTAACATTAAAATGAATCCGTTCAATTTTTCGTTATAACCATTAACACATGGCTTGTTATTCAATGCACTGTATGTGTCACGTTACACATTTTATAAATGGATTTTTTTCAGCCACATCATACAGAAATCACATTCTATTTACTCGATGTGTCTCTGACAATGGATGCGTGTGCGTGTATGAGTGCTGACCACATATGAATAAAAATGATATAGTAAAAAAAGCAATGATGATGGATAAACAACAATGTATGATATTCTAAAACAAAAATCTTATTATTTTTCATAAGAGAAGAAAAAAAAATAGCACATTCGACTAAATTACACGCTTTATTGCTGGTAATAATATTAATCCAGTTCTTGCTTGGCTCCATATTAAAAATTCTTTACAATTCAGCATCATCATTTCACTTCACATTTTCTAATGGAAAGAAGTGTGGCCCGAACTCGTTTCACTGTGTAAATAATCACCGAAAGAATTCGTTGACTCGTTTTCGATGGAAAAAGTCCAAATAGAATTGGAAACATACTATAAACAGCATATGTGATCAGCGTAAAAGCAGTTTCAATCAATTGGTAGGCAAATTGTCGAAAGACAGAGAGAGCACAGGCAAAAAAAAAGAACAGCAGCTGAAGCGAGAATGCGGTTATGCGTACGACTTTTTTTCTTTCTTTCTAATGCATACTTGAATCCAATTCAATTCCAGTATATCGTTGTTGTGGTCGCTGCGCACTCGATTTACATCAGTGACCGGTTCGCGCATATTTCTATGCTTGCCTAAATACGCTAGGTAGCATAGATATGCCAAGCATAGCCGCAAACGCAACCGACGCATCGCCGTTCACTCTATATGAACAATGCACATGTTCGTTTATGCAGACGACCGTGCGCATACAATATAGCTCGAATCGAATGGCGACGGGTGCGTTGCGGCTTGCGTCTCCGCTATGCTTAGCATAGCTATCAGGCATAGAAATATGCGCGAACCGGTCACTGATTTACATACGTTTTCATATTTGGTCGCAATGAGAGTTGTTTATTTGCTACTGCAAGTGAAAGATGATGATATATAGTATGTACAAAGACCCTTGAGAAAGATTTTAAAACAAGTTCTATTTCAGAATTCCTTTCTTTTTTTTACGCGTTCTTGTCACTGCTGCCGTCGTTTCTTTGCTGCGGTTTGTTGTGTGTTCCACTCGAACTATTCATATATTTAATCTACTTATGATTGTCATTTGCTTACTGTGCCATCACACACTGGCCGATCCACATACCGTTTATTTTTTGTTGTTGATGAAATCGTAGTGATGGCGCTTCGACAACAACAACAACCATATCAACATGAAAAAAGTGTTCCATCGAAACAAGAAGACATTGAAATGTCGGTCACAAAAAAACGAGTCGCACTGTTTGGTCATTGAAGAGAAAGAGAGAGAAAAGTGTCAAACGGTGCCTGTCGCTCTCGTTTTATTGTTTGTCTAGGCCGCACTTTGGTGGGTGAACATTAATGAAAGTATTCAAATACGAACAAATTGGAGCGCACAATGAATAAGACTTTACCGACTCAAAGAGTCGCAAAATTTTATTGAATATGGATTAGAGAGAAAACAAACGGTATTTTATTGCGAAATAGAGAACAACGAGAAGAATGCCAATAAACCATATCCATTGTTAAAACTAAATTGTTCACACCCTTCCATTCATGATTTTCATTTGTGCTCTGTCTGTGGATTTTAGGATTTTTTGACACTATACTTTGTAATAAAAACTAATCCATTCATTTCGTTCACCGAGGATTTATTATTAATTCAGGTCTATTGTTTGATATCCAACGCCAATGACCATTTATTCAGTTCTATCGAGAACAATGCGTGTTTTCGCTTTTAATTGAATGCAATTTCATTTTGCGAGCACACTGATTGCATCGAGAATGTTTTTTTTTTCGTGTGTGTTTGCGGTCAAACGAATAGTTTGTGTTCATTCAACAAAGCACAAAAACCCAATTTTTGCGTTTTAATTTACATTTCTATGTTGGCTTTTGATGTCACTTGTCATAAACGTTGTACAAGCCGAAATTCACAATGAAAACATAATTCTGTTGTTGAAACAATGAATGAAAATTTGTTTGCATTTTGGCGTATTCAATGTTGAATTTACGTGTAATATTGAGTGTGTTGCATGTTGAGTTGTTCGTGTTCCGTTGTTTAAATATGTTAGCAAAAAGTCAATCACGTTTCGTCTGGTGAAAATGTAAACAGACTTATGTTAAGGAATAGTCAAAACATCAACAGCCCCCGGAGTATTTTTTTTTTGTGTGCAATGCTGAATGTGTGTTTGACATCGTGAATGGCATATAAGTGTGGGTGGATTTATATTTGGTTTGCGGGTCGACTTAGCTAATAGGCTTTATGTTTGCATTTGATGCTAAACAAAATTGCGATTTTCTTGATATTTATCAATTTATCATGGCCACATCATCAATGTAGCAATTGCACGCCCTTCTTTATGATGAATTGTCTTCGTTTAATGTGCACACAAAGCACATCCAAATCAATTGCCATCAAATGCGTTTCTCCCTCATCGCAATCCATGAATAGTCGAACGTAATTGCAAATATCCACCCGAAAATTACATCTCAAACGCCCCAGATTTAAGTATCAAATCGATTGCATGCGAGAAAGATGAAGAAATCGAACGGCCGAGACACATATTTACACATTAATCGAAAATAGACTAGAATAGAGTCAGTACAGAGAAAAATGAAGAATAAAACAAACGAAAGACGATGAACAAATGAAGCGCAAACATTCGATGAATGAAAGAAGATTAGGTGTGTGTGAAATCGGATATTATGCGATATTGGTGGCGACGTATTGAGGTCGGATGTTGTGAGTGCGCGCATATTGCAATTTACAATTGTTTGACGTGCCGCTGCTGATTCATACACATCTCGAGTGTATCGTGGCTCTTTGGTGTAGGCAACATGTAAATAGGGTCGCATTCACCCCAATACCAAAATACCATTTAAAATGTGCACACTTAATTTGTTTGCATACATCGAAACCATTTTTCTCAATAAAAACACGCAAATAATAATAATAATAATAATATCAAAAATATTCGCCGTATAAATGTGATTCGTAAAATATATTTGTCGCCGGATATAAAACAAAACTAATTAAGTTTGTCCATAGAATTCGAATGGAGAATAGATGTGACAGAATATGCGTTGAACGCGTGTTTGTTTCGCATGGCACCATATCTATTCATAGACATTGATCTCACTCTTTAAAACCCATTTCGCTTGTGGTACGTTCATTCAATGATTGGCACTGCCAATTTCGCAGTTTATAAAAATCGATTCTAACTCGTTTAGAAATTCATTCTAATTCGTTTCGATGTGTCCATTCAATAAAATTCTCAAGAGTGTGTAAAAAAAATGATGGTGAAAACAAGCCCGATAATGCTGAGATTTAAACAGTTATGTTCGCTTTTGCCATTTATATCGCGTGCATGGTTGCCGCATCTCGTTTACAATTAATTTATTTTTGGTGTCATATCACCGATTCTATTGCATTTTCCTCTCTCTCTCTCTCTATCTTTCTCTCTTGCACTTCTCTAAATCACTATCATTCTATCAACACGACACATTTTCGCGACGATATTTATACTCTATCGATTGCCATTTATTATAAATTACGTGTGATGTACCGATCAAATGTGCATGTGTGTGTGTGTGCATTTAAAAAAAAT